GCATGGGGCTGGATTTTAACGAACTATTTGTGTATTCTAGAACGTTGTTAGTAATATAATAATAACCTCACACAGACACACATCTCACCGCCGCACAGTGATTCGTTGTTAACATGCTGTACAAAGGTTACCTGAAACCTGCTCGCTTGCCAACACCCTCTCTGTCCCAATTTCAAGAATTGTTTCCAACTATTGATAACGGAATGAGGGCAGTAGTAAAAGAAAGGGTTAGAAAATTACTCGAATCATTGCATTTTTAAACCGAAGTAAATTTATATTTTTTTAATCTTACTGATGTATCTTCAAGTTAAAGGTATGCACTATTATAATAATAATAGGGATCTTGTACTATGGGTACTAGACAACTGATATAAATACATATATACTTTTTTTTTGTAAATAAATACATATTATACATAGAAACACCCAGACCAAATCAAACATTAAATGTTCATGCACACAAATGTTTGACTTGAGCGGGAATCGAACCCGCGACCTTTAGAATAGCATACACAAACCACTACGCCATCCGGTCGTCAATTATTATTTAAAATTATCAACAGCCTTTACTAGTCAACTGCTGGACATAGGCCTCTCCTTAGACAGGAGGTTTTAGCCTACTGTATTACGCTGGAAAGACGTTTTGTTTTGAAAGACGAGGATTTGTTTCAAGTTTTCCTTCTCCTTCTTCCTTTGTAGAAGAAGAAGAGAAGAAGATTTCGAGAACACAATACTCGAAACATTCGAACACTAATCACATCTGATCCTGTAACGAACGGTCTTAGAGAACTTGCAGAAACCGACTAATAAACTTCCGTCTGAAGTTTTAGATATCATAGTACTGGAAATATAATGTCTAGTGTATGTCTCGTTACCTGACTAGGACCAATCGGTAAGGGGGTATGTTGTACTAGATTAAAACCAATTAAGACTAATTAAAACCACACAGTGCCGTATTTTGCCCTATCAACCTTGGGTTCACCTCTAGGGAACATATGACTAAGTCACCTGGTGGTGACTATCACTGTCCATGGAACCATGATATTGTTCATTTGTCCTGTGTCTGGGTTTGAATTTGTCTGTAATATGTATGTATTTAAAAATATATAAGTATGTTTATCAGCAGTCTAGTTACCATAGTACAGGCTCTGCCTAGTTTGGGATCAGACGGCCGCGTTTGAGATGTGTTAAGTTATTATTATTATTATTGAGACATCAACAGCCCAGTTAAAAAAACAGTAGATGTTATAATTACCATAGTAATTGGAATCGTTCGAGTGAATCGGGCCTCACTGAACACCGCGTGTGCGTTCCACAGATAGTTATCGTACGCAAAAACATACTATGAGTCATTATCTACTTACAAAACGATTTTATACTAAACCGCTGGGTCTACAAACTTGTGCGTTTTATGTTGTAAACACTAGGAAAGGTTTTTGGAAATTTAACCCCTAAGGGGTAAAATAAGGGATGAATGGTTGTATGGAAGTTCGTCCTTTTCAAAGTTAGAAACGCGAAAAAAGAAATATTTACGGAAGCGAACCCGCAGCCAATCGCTAGTGTAACTATGATTTTTGCTAACGTCAGATGGACATGCTTCGGCACATTTCAGTTGCAGGTGTCCATTGGCGGCGGTAGTCACTTACTATCAGGAAACCTAACTGCTTGTTTGCTCTCCTTATGCAAAAAAACGACGTGAGGGGTCTACAGACGAAGTTTCAAAAGAAGTATCGCCAAAAAGTCTTGTTACACATTTTTCGGTCTCGCTTCCTTCGGCTCAGAATGTGTAACGCGCGATAAGGAATTTCGTTCCAAAAAATTACATAAAATGCCTTTGGTATTACCACAAATATCATTTTCTTGCTTTTAAATTAAACGTGCTAATTTTTAGAAGTATCTAGAATTTCTAGAACATCGCGTCCTTTTGCGAGCCGAGCAATAACAATAAATGCGAATGAAACAAAACAGCCGGCCCATTTAAAATTGCCAGCGTTTTGTCTCTGGTGAAGTAAGATGCTTTGGAGTAATATCGAAATGATTTCAGGTTATTTCGTAAGAGCCTTGAAATGTTTTACGAAATTAGTTTTCGTCAGATTATTGAAATATTGTGCATATTGTTAATGAGTAAACGCAATGTAGCTCCTAATTTGCTTGAGTTTAAAAATAAAATCTTTTTTAATGAGCATTACGAAATGTTAGTTATAAATTATAATTGTTATTCGTTTTTCGACAAGTTTCTTAGAAAAATACAGGGAGCCAAAATATATTTCTGATTTTATTGAATACTAGCGGAGACCCGCGGTTTTACCCGCGTTTGTTGTTATAACCGCGGGCAACGCCGCGGGGGGAAGCTAGTCTAAAAAAATAGTCTAAGTTACTCCTTATGTCATCAGCTATCTGCCAGTGAAAGTCCCGTCGAAATCGGTCCAGCCGTTCCAGAGATTACCCGGAACAGACAGACAGACAAAAATTGTAAAAAATGTTATTTTGGCATATGTACCGTGTAAACGTACATATGCATTTAGTAAAAAGCGGTTCTTTTAATATTACAAACAGACACTCCAATTTTATTTATTTGTATAGATATGCCGCAATATATACATAATATACAAAACTCACATAGGTAATATTGATTCCTTTGTTATGAGTGTTTATGAATTCAATGCAATTAAATATACTTATTTATACATACATTTTTTGTATAAAAATAAACATATAAGAGACTATTTGCATTCTAGATCCAATCATTGCAATATAGTTTCAGAATATTATCGTCATGTAGGGTCTGGTATACGATTACCATCACGTACAGCGTGTACTGCGGAATAGGATTCAAGGTATTCCTGGCTCCTGCATCGCCCCGAAGACATCCTCCAAAAGCAGGAGATTTGAAGGAACTTTCCACCCCAAACGAAAATTGCGCAGCATGTAATTTTGAGCTATATTTGTTAATAAACTTCGTTAAAAAGAATACAAAAAGCCTTATCTTTAATCTTTTCAACACATTATGTATTGAGATTCCTTTTACGATACATCAAAAGAATACTTGTTTAAAATATCTTATCTGTCAAATTTGATCGCGCCGGTTGTATTAGGGCTGTTGCAAATACTTATATATATACTGGCTGACCCGGCAAACGTTGTTTTGCCATATACATTATTTCTGGGAAATAAAAAAAAAATATGATGAAAAATAGATGTTGGCCGACTCTCAGACCTACCCGACGTGCATACAAAATTTCATAAAAATCGGTCCACGGTAACATTGTGACACGAGAATTTTATATATAAGATTGCTTTCATATGTGGTGTTGTTCCCATCTTTTTAGCCAACTGCGAATTGTTGTTGTGTAATGTTATCTCAAGGATCATTAGCTAATTGACGAATTAATGTAATTTAGAAATGAAATAAAACTGGTGCAGCATGTCAACATTTATTGCAGTATCGTAGTCGACTGCTGTTTCTTATAGCCAAATGCCTCCAGGGCAGGGCCTCATGTATAGGCAATAGTTAATTTCAGATACAGGTATGCGACTGACTGGCTTCAGTTATTGCCTTCATTCTCTAAACCATATGTATATATTCTGCTTGTCTAAGGAACTACTGGTTCCGTGTATTGTAAACGACACCACTGAACCACACCACTGGGGTGTCGTTTACAATTTTTTATGTTAACGACACCACCGTAATGAATTTGCATAAGACTGTTATGCATTTATCGATATGTTTTATATTTCATTCGTAAGACAACGTCCATGACCATTTTGAAAAGCTTCTTTTAGAAGTTTCCAGAGGTTCCTTTAAAGATAGCAGATGAAGTAAAACAAAGATACGGTAAAAAATTGAATAGCTATTATTTATTTATCGCATCAAGTTTTATAAATTAATTAAGTTGTTTTTTTGTTGTAATGAATACAATTATTATGTTTTACGAATGTCTGAGAACTCCACCAATTTCAACATTATCATTAAAGAAGAATAGGTATCTAATGTATTGTTTTATTTTACGTTGTACATCACTTAGTCAGTGGTAGTGTCGTTAACACAAAAGTGATTGTAATCGACACCCCTAGTCTAGACACACTAGTCGTGTATTGTAAGTAAACGACACCATTGAACCACACTTCAATGGTGTCGTTTACTTACAATACACGACTGGTTCGAATAGAAAAGCTAGCCAAATTGGATAGCCAGTTTATCGAGGAAGGCTATAGGCTATGTAACATCACGCTACAACCAATAGAAGGTTAAATATTCGTTCTTTTTAATTCTTAAGTTTTCTGTGTCATTCACCTGCTTCAGAAATTAAATTGACCGTTGATAATTGTTCTAAAATATTAATTATTTAAATCAAACACATGACGACAAGAATTTAAATATACCTACATTATATAGTTCATTTTCAAAGACCATTATGTTGCGGATAATGACGGCGGAGTAAAAAGAGCGATGAATAAACCAGAAGCGGAGTGTGAATGAAAAATAATGAAATAACAAATAATTTAAATATTAAAAAACCCCGATACAAGAATAAAATTTCAAAAAATTCCTGACTGCTTGATGCAGCAGCAAGTTCCATGGTTGCCATGTCGTGGTAATGCCATTAAAGTAACAGTATACCAAATTTGAGATCAATCGGACCTGTGGATTTTAGCAAGATCCCTTCATCACCTAGGAAGTGAGTTGATGATCTTCAAAATTTATGGCTAAGAATCATCTCGATCACATCGGCTTTTGAATAAAATATGGGCATCGAAATTGGTCCATCCGTTCGGGAGCTATGATGCCGTAGATAAATACATAGATACACAGATACACAGGTTAAACTTATAACACCCCTCAGGGTTGTTTCTTGAAGTTTATCTTTTCACCCTTGTGGTTGGTATTTTCCCTCTCTAGTGTCCCCGAACGGTCAGTGTACCCTTGCGAATAGAAAATGCTACTATCATTAGCAAATTCACTGTAAAAATATAATAACGAATATGTTTTTTTTTTTCAGAATAGCAAAGAGCAAAATGACAGCAGCCGGGAGAAGTACAAGGACTTCACGTTCGACCACTCGTACTGGTCATTTGCGCACGAGGACAAGCAGTATGCGTCACAGGAACAGGTGAGTTTCCTGATAGGTACCTGGCACACGTTCTCCATGATCTATAAACTAACATCCTTAGGGTCGGTTGCTCTTGAAGAATGACACTAGGGCTAATATGCATATTGTGCATTTGTCCAGAATTCGTTGGATGACCACATGACCTGCACATATAATAATACATTCACAATTCTGATGGCCTGATCCCAACATGGGCAGAGCCTGCGCTATGCCAGATAAAATATATAACCAAACTGTTTATAAACATACTTATATATTACTAAAAACATACATATTATAGATAAATTACACCCAAAAACAGAACAAATTATTGTACTCATCACAATCATTTGTCCTGGATGAGAATCGAACTCACGACCTTCTTAGCAGTCATAGTTACGAACCACTAGACAAGGGATTCCCGAAGTGGTCGATATACACCCCTTGGGTCTAAAATTAATCGACCCCTATTAATTAACACAGTGGCAGTGGGTTGGCCATATTAGCCGCAGAACCGATAACCGTTGGGGAAAACGAGTTCTTGAGTGGAGACCGCCTCTCGACAAACGTAGTGTAGGACGCCCACAGGCCAGGTGGAGTGACGATTTGCGCAAGATGGCTGCGAGAAGCCCAAAATCGATCTAAGTGGCGTGCAATGGGAGAGGCCTATGTCCAGCAGTGGACTGCGATAGGCTGATGATGATGATTAATTAACACAAATTATTTGAAACTTTTAAAATACTGTATTAGTTGTGATACTTGTACTAACTTGTTATAAGAATGACTAATATTGTACTAGGAAGTATCATTGTTGCCCTTTAAAAAAACTCAACAAGTCGATAAGCGTGCAGCAATTTGGCTATTGGGCTCTGAGATATCAGTTCATTTTAGAAAAGGGGTCTCTTGCCCCAAATAGTTTGAGAAACTCTGCACTAGACCAACAAGCGAGTCGATATAAAAATTTAAGGAATAATATTTTGTTGTGAGAAATATAGATCAACATTCGTCATTTGCCAAGACTTTGTAGGCAATATAACACGTTAGCCAAAACGACTGATTTAGATATATGCCTGTTTGTCTAAATATAAGAAATGCTTAACAGCTTTAATGTAATGTAAGCCTCAACGTTATTATTATTATTATTTATTTATTTTATTTCGTATTTTTTATATTTTATCAAAACAATTTTTTTTTTAATTATTATTATTAATTATATTTTTTGTTACTTTTAAGAATTTAAATTTTGAACATCGCTTGTAACTTTGTTCACTGGGTTGATGGTATTATTATTTTTTCACTGTACTTGCTGTGGTCTCCTGTAAGTGAAAGAGTACATCGACTTTATACCCATTCTGTTAATTACTGTTTTTTTACTTGTGTATATCTTTCGTAGGAGATCCTAATAAATAAATAAATAAATTCTTATATAAGTTAACTGAATTAAATTAAAAACTACACATAATATGTTTAAAAAAAAACTTCGAGCCTTTTTTTCTATGTTTAACGCGGAGCAACTGCCATCAAACCTTCCTCCACAAGCCAAGTACTAACTAGGTGGCAAGTTCTGTAGAAAGACAAGTCTACCTTTTTAAGGGCTCCAACTATCCGTAACGATTGCCACAAATGTTCGTATTGCAACCGGGGCAGACTACTTAACGTGCTCTCCGAGGCACGGAGGGGCCTCGATGTGTTAAGAATGGTCACCCATCCATAGACTGACCTAGCCAGGATTGCTTGACTTTGCTATGTGTTTCCCTACTCGATTACCACTTGCCACGAGCCAACCTGAAGTAAATGTTTTATTAAAAAAAATACTTTTAAAAATTGCAGGTGTTCTCAGACTTGGGGCTGGACGTGATAGACAGTGCTTTCGAAGGGTACAATGCCTGCGTATTCGCTTATGGACAAACCGGCTCCGGGAAGACCTTCACCATGATGGGGTCTCCGGTAAGTGTATTACGATAAAACTTTAAGATATATAAGCTATGAAATAAAGAAAGTGCGCTTTCAAGCAATTTCTTACCTCGCACGACGAATTTGGAGAACAAATAATCACCTGCTGTAATTCCGAACCGATACGATCTTCAGACCTTCAAGCAAAGAGCGTATTACTACCACAAAGGCCGGCAAGGCGTTTGTAAGTCCTGAGTTGTCTTGGGCGGCGGTAGTCACTTTCCATCAGAGGGCCGAGTGCAAGTTTATTTTACATCGACTCGCTCACGACGGCGAGCGCGTTTAGCGTTCCGATTGGTGCAGATTTCAGGGTCAATCACAACGCCGAACGCCGTGACGATCGAGTAGAAAATAAACTCGCACTTGGCCCTCAGGTGACCCGTCTGCTCGTAAAAAAAAGTTGATAGACTATCACGAGGCAAGAGGCATGGTAATTGTCTAAAGCCAGAAGTAAACTTCACGCAGCGGTTTGTTAGAGCACTGGTGTTAATTTTTTTTAGTTGAAATTATAAATTTAAATTGACTCCTCGGATTTCGTAGTTACTGAAGCGGTCATCTCCCCGCTTCCTACTGCTCTAAGTGTTCTGGGTTCCATCCCCACATGGGACAACACAACCTTTTTTTCTGGAATTGGATGGTCTATACGTCCATGTTTCATGAATAATAATAACTTCACACATCTCACACACGACAATCTGATCCCAAAATAGTCTACTATGGTTACCAGACTGCACATAAACATATTTATATATTTCTAACCATAATGTCACCACACGGACGAGTGATTACAACACTAAAATATTTCAAATCAAATCAAATAATTTATATTATATTACTATTTACTATAAACTATATATACTATTAACAATTTACACTCGTTGCATTTCATTAATACCTTTCATGTAACGAAAGTCCATACAAGAACAATTCAACTTAAACTGGTCAATATGTAAAATGAGTTATGGTCAACCACTAACCGATCTTTAATTAAAATTAAATTAACCTTTCTAAAAATGGTTGTTTAAAAGTGCAAAAGACCCATGATGGAAAATTCTAAATACCGTTATCTAATTTTTAATATAAATGTAAAGTTTTGAATTAAAATAATTAATAATTTTATCTGAGATCAACGTAGGTCAGTATTATGGCTATGTATCATGATTCAATGACCTCATTAGCATACATAATGTGTTGTTTGATTTTAAATGATAAAAATGAATCAGTTTAAATGGCGTCTAATCTGGTTTGAAAGTAAATTACACATTCGAGGTCTAAGGTCATTACTTTTTTGGTGTCTGGACAGTTTCCAAGTAAAGTAAGCTCTAGATGAAACTCTCCAGAGATTTTTTTAAAGACAACTCCAGCACCGCAAACATACATTAAATGGTCACAAAGAACACTCAGACTCGGAACAACAGTTTGTGGATCACACCAAGTGTCGTCCCATGTTGAGATCGAACCCACAACACTCGCGCATTAGGCGACGGCGAGGTGACCGCTTAAACCACTACGCAATCCATGCAGTCGGATTAGATCCACACATTAACCATTTGTTTTCTAGTTTCCACAAGGTGACTTTTATATGCAGAAAGGTTTTCAATTCTTCTCTTTAGTAGAAATTATGGGTTATGACACAGCAGTCATAAATGTAAACTTACTAGAGATCGCCAGACGCTCGAATCTAGACCGTTTTAATTAGCAGCGTTTATTGCATCGACTAGTATAACTTGAACTGTCATTATATAAGACCTTTGAACCATGACGGTTCAAAATATATACTGGATTTCTTTAGCTTTATGTAGTAGATTTCACATGGCTTTTTAAGTTTTACGATAGATTGTTTAAAACTTTTAACTTTGTGCACTTCTTCTGCATATAAACATTAAGTATACCCTCATCATCGTCAACAGCCTTTAATAGTCCACAGTCCAGGAGGTTTTGGCCTACTATAAAAGTCAAGTGTCAAGTTTTTCTTTTATTTTGCAGTGCTGTTGTCCTGCGTAGTTTGATCCCTTAGTTGGCTCTTACGAAACCCATGGTATGAAAAGGTAGGATAGAAGGAATACACTATCTTATAATTAATCTTTTCTTGCAGGAATGCCAAGGTTTAATCCCCCGAATTTGCCGGCAACTATTCTCCCGTGTAGCAGCTGGTAAGGAGTCCGGAGCCTCCTACCGCACAGAAGTCAGCTACCTCGAGATCTACAACGAACGTGTCAAGGACCTTCTAGCCACTGACGCTGGCCACTCCCTGAGAGTCAGGGAGCATCCGAAACTAGGGCCGTATGTCCAGGACCTGTCGAAGCACTTGGTGTCGGATTATGATGACATACAGGTTAGTGAATACAGATACTATTAAAGTGGTTTATATTCTATTATTTTAGGGTATATGCCTATTTTTACTTAATATTTTGTCTCTCTCTTTGCTAAGAAGAGAAGATTTATTATATTTCCAACTTCTTCAAAAAACTTCAGATTAATTCAGTTGCGGGTTTCAAGACAGTTTAACTTTTCTTGGGACTGCCCGAGTGCCATAACATTAGTGTTGGTCCCGGTATACAGGAGTTACGGTAGTATGCGTGTGGGAGGAATTAGTCTGGACTTGTTTATAAACATCACAACTTTATAATTTTCCTACGTTTGGTTGGCTGGTTTCTTTAATGGCCTGCCATCCGCCTGAAGCTAATTATTTTTGGGAATGGATCTGTTTGTTGACGAGACAAAGGAAAGAGATTTTTTTTTTGCCATAGGAGAGCCATGCAACATAAAAGGGTCAGCTCGAATGGAGTGAAACCACGGCTACACATAAAACCGCTGTGAAGCAGTTCTTACCTTCGGGTGACCCGTCGGTTCGTTTGCCCTTCTACACCATAGAAAATAAAGGGACCCTGGAACAGCTTTTATTATGACGATGTGATGATGTGATAATTGCGCAATATAACACGCCGTATGGTTTCAGTCGGTCTAATTCCTACACGTCGCTCCACTGAATGCCTCGGTTGGGTGACGTCCCCAGGGGGTCTCCAAACACAAATAAAAGTTACTGACAATACATTATGACCGACCGAATATAATATTCTGTTTTAAATACTTTAACCATTGATTGATTGATTGATTATAAACACCTATATAGCGCATCTGTGTGCATGTATGTAAACTCGGAAATAGAAAAAAAAACAATAGCACAACATGTTGTAACTATTATCATGTAGTAAGATTAAATAATCGACAGTCTAGCGCCGATCGCGTGACCGTTATTGCTCCTTTCGACTTTATACGCAGTTGTCATGCGAGCGCGCGTCGTAAATGTTACAACGATTGATTTGAACTAGATCATTCTTTTGATACCGTTTTAGGGTAAGTTCCTTTATGGGCTTTGGAGAAACTGTGAGACAGCTTTGTGCATGTGCTCTAGTTCAATCCAATGCATGATTCGACACACATTATAGGCCGGCTTGAATGAAGTGATATCATCATCATCAACAAAAGCCTATAATAGTTCACTGCTAGACATAAGCCTCTCCTTAGAAGGGAGGTTTTGGCCTGCCATACCACGCTGGCCAGACGGGTTGGTATAGGGTTTGTTTCAAGTTTTCCTTCTCTTTGCAGTGCTGTTGTTCTGCGTAGTTTGCTCCCTTAGGTGACTCTCAGTATTCTAAATCCGTCACCACACGGCCTCATAGCAACATAGCCTCACAGGAAACCGTGTTAAGCATTTTTTTTGATCTGTTCGGTTTTTGCCACCTTTCTGCCTTTGTCCCTAAATGTAACGCCCAGTATAATTCGTAGAGATTTGCCCCCTTTTTAGCAATTCCTATTTTTTATTCGATTTTTGCCAATTTTATGAGTTTGCCTCCTGTTTTAACATAATGACCCAAAAACCGAAGAGAACTTTTTTTCGTGGCTGTCAACCTCTGGATAGGCTCCCAGCAAATTTAAATGCAGAAATAATAATAATATTTTCACATATTTCACACACGGCCGTCTGATCCCAAACTAGGCAGAACTTGTGCTATGATAACCAGACTGCTGATAAACATACTTATATATTTCTAAATACATACATATTATAGATAAATTACACCCAGACACAGAACAAATCACACAATTATTTGTCCTGGGAGTAGCAGTCAGGGTCACAAACCACTAGACCAACAAGCCATTCAAAACCTATTATAAGTAATCAATACAGTATACATCGAAATAATCCAAGAATTAAGTTAAGTTTAAAAACGTATACAATGTTTATATATTATTTTACTTCAGAATGAGATACTTTTTAATGTTAGCATTACGTAAGCGATAACTACCGTTCTTATAACGTTTCTCTCATTTTTCTTTTATTTTTAAAAGTTGTGGTTTAATTTGCTAATAAATATTATGTAATCTAAAATCAGGTGTTTACCATTATTACATAACATTAAACAAACAATTTTACTGTATGTCAGATGTAAAACGACAGTTACATTATTTAGATTCAGGGCTGGCATTCACTAGGGTTGTCGCGAAATATCTTTTGATTAATATTTTATTATGTTTTTTTAAGAATAATTAGCATAATTATTATATGCTTTATGCTTTTTTGGACTTTTCTAATGTCTTTAGATATAATTATTATAATGATAGATTAATTTGAAAAGTAGTTCTAATATTTTATAAACTTTTATTGATAGGGTGGTTACACCTTGAAGTTTAATTCGTTTGAATCTAGAGAATTTGACTTTGAAACTCCACTTTACTTAATACTAGGAGGGCTGATATTCATGTATCCGGAACTGGTCAGTTACAGAACAATATTAAAAAAGTAATTATAACATTTAAAAATGGAACTCTTTGGCTGAAGAATATGTTTTGTTTCATGTAGCTGCTATTTGTTTATTCTATGTTGCGTCATTTTGAAAATTTTGTGTCTGTATCACTATGGGTTTAACTCGTGAAAATTTTCGTGCTATCATTTATTACGATTTTGGCGAGGGCTAACTCAAAAACAGTGCATCGATCAACTCATTTCGACTTTTGGGGACGAAGCACCATCAAAAACAACTGTGTATCCCTTGTTTAGTGAATTTAAACGAGTGCGGTATGTGCTCACGGACGAACTTAAAGGAACCTAAATCGGTTGTTGTACCTCAAAATATTGATGCTGCGCGGGCACTAATAATGCAAGATCGTCATGTTACATATCGCGAGATATCGCTACTTTTAAAAGGTAACCTCAAATCACCGCCGAGCATTAGATTTGACAATGTTACTGTAAAAAATAAAACCGTAGTGTGTTATCTAGGGTTAGTTTTAGAAAGAAACTTTTCATTTATCGAACATATTAAAATAGTTAATGAAAAGTCTAAAAAGAGTTTCTGTGCATTGACAAGGATATCAACTGCGACATGGGGTCTATCATTTAATACATTAAAGATCATATACGGAGCTACTTATTTAGGTTCTATGTGCTATGGTGCACCTGTATGGGCCGATAGGGCGACCGTAGGCGCCGTCCGTCCGTTTGTCCGTCGCAAACTGTTACAAGGCCAACGACTTGCAGTGATATTTTTGTGCAAGGCATATAGGACGGTTAGCACTGAGGCTTTGCCGGTGTTGGCAGGTGTCCTTCCGGTCGATCTCGAGGTGCAGAGACATGCAGCCATGTACTATTCAAGACAAAACATGGAATGCGATTTCTTGGGCGCGCGGGATCGCGGTAAAATTACAAGATTGCTTCAACAGCAGTCCGATGTCTATAATGACCTCATAGACGAATGGCAGCAACGCTGGGACGAATCATCCAAGGGGCGCCATCTTTACCAATTTTTTCCATCTGTTCGCGAACGGTTGTCGAGGACATGGCTTGAGGTGGATCACTGTGTCGCTCAATTTCTTACGGGTCATGGTAACTTTAAGAGCAAGTTGTATTCATTTAAATTAGTCGAGTCACCATTGTGTCAATGCTCAACACCTAACTCTCATTATGAACAATCTGCTCATCATATCCTCTGGGAATGTAGTCTTTGGTATAATGAACGTAATATAATGCTGAATAGCTTGCAGGTGACATCTGGGGCGGTATACTATGGGGATCTTGTGTCAACTAGGGTGAATTTCCGTGCGTTTAGGCGATTCTGCCAGACATATTATAGAAATCAAATATAGCTCATGTAGGACCCGTAATATTTTGTGGCCGTGGTGCTTCCCTGTTTAAAAGGGTGTATGCCTATTTTACTTCATTTTGTCTCCCGCTTTGCTAAGGAGGGAAGTGGATTTACTGTATTTCCAACTCCTCCAATTTTCTTCTGATTAATTTCGTTGCGGGTTCCAAGACAGTTTAATTTCTTCCTGGGACTTCCCGAGTGTCATAACTCGGTGTGTTCGTGGGTCACTGCTGTGGATCCTGGTGTACAGGAGTTACAGTGGTGGGCGTGTGGGTGGGATTAGTCCCAATTAAATATCGCGAGATAGAGGCGTCTCTGAGAATAAGTATGACGAGTATATATAAAATATTACAAGAAAATTTAGCTGTAAAAAAAAATTGTTCACGTTGGATTCCGCACAACTTGAGAAGTGCCCTCGATTGGTGTAAAAAAATGTTACAAAAGTACAATCAGGGTGCGTCAAAAGCTGTCTATCTTGGATATATGCGTATGATTCTGAAACTAAACAACAATAAACGGTTTGAGTGTTCCAAGATGAGCCGAACCCAACAAAATTCATTCGTTTAAAAAGCACTTTGAAGCAACGGTTGCTTCTTTTTTTTGGTATAAATGGACATGTGGCTACAGTCCCACTAGAGCATCGTAAAATAGTAAATTCTGAATGGTACACGACCATTTATTTGCCAGAAGTCTTTGAAGAAATAAATAATTTATGCAGAAGCATGGTTCTCCCACGATAGTCTTACGATTGTCTTATTTACTCTTAGATTACAATAAATTAATCTTATTATTATTATTCTTAGGAATGCATGCATCGCGGCAACCTACATCGCACTACGGCATCCACACAGATGAACGACGTGTCGTCTCGCTCGCACGCTATATTCACCATCACTTTCGTGCAGGCCAGCTACTTGAGACACAACAATATGCCCAGCGAGACTGTGTCCAAAGTGCACCTCGTGGACTTGGCTGGCAGGTTCGTTAATCATTTAAAAAGAAAATTTCAGTTAATCTGTCTGCCCGTTTGCTCGTATATTTAAAAAAAGAAACTGTAACAGTCTCAATCGTTATTTTTAATATGTGAGTAACATATTACCTCTCAAGGGACGGAAACGTGTAACAACAACCATGAGAAGTGACCCATTCTATGCTTTTACCGTCTTTCACAGCGTTCATTAGTCAAATTGAATATACTTTGACCAATGAGCGCGAAATATACCCGAACATAACCCTTCTTCTTTCTCAGTTGAATAAAATAATAATCAAACCACTTGTAAAAACGTGGTTGTGAGTTTGAGAATAACTATGAATTATTTCTTAGCGAGTCAATTATGATATATTGTAAAATGCCTCATCAATATTTAAATAAATTATTGTTGTCTTCAGCGAACGTGCAGACGCCACAGGAGCTACAGGACAGCGTCTGGTTGAAGGCGCTCACATAAACAAGTCACTAGTAACCCTAGGATCCGTTATATCCGCTTTGGCAGAGTCCAGCCAACCTGTTGAAAGTGAGTATCAAGGTGCCCTCCTTTTTTAACAGAGAAGGTCAACTTATCCCAGGTCAAGGTCATTGGCGTCAAGTTCATTATTAAGTCAAATTTATTTGTGTTTATTTAGTACGTCTCTAGTGAGCGGAAAGCTTAGCTGCTTCCAGTAGTAAACGAAGATTTTGAAGTCAAGGTCAAGGGTATGCCCAATTTCAAGGTCATATTAGAGGTCAAAAGTTAAATTTATTTATTTAGTATAATCTCTGGTGTGCTAAAAGTTTAGCAGCTTCTTGTAGTAATTAATTATTTTGATTGGTGTTCAACTTACTTGGTTATTTATTGAAGACTTATATTGCTACAGATCGAATACAGAAAGGCACGAAAAAAGTGTTTATACCGTACCGTGACTCTGTGCTGACCTGGCTGCTGAAGGATTCTCTCGGCGGCAACTCGAAGACCATCATGATCGCAGCTGTAAGATATGCCTCATTTCAACTCTCCCTACCTACATAGCTTGTTCATTATATTTATAAGTACATTGAAATTTAATGCTTTTGAAACTCATGTTTTTTAAATAATAATATTCTACCACATTCACACAACGCCATCTAGTCCCAAACTAAGCAGAGCTTTTACTATGGGTACTAGACAATTGATATTAATACTTTTTTTTTCAAATACATAAATATTATACATAGAAACACACAGACCAAATTAAACATTAAATGTTCATGAACACAAATGTTTGACTTGAGCGGGCATCGAACACGCGAACTTTGGAATAGCTGTCCGTTACACAAACCGGTCCAATAGTTTTTTTAGTCATAGTTATTTATGACATAAGGTTGCGCTGTATTGACGTGACAGGACGAAAAAACTAAGAGTTTTGTGATACGAAGAGTTTTGTGAGTAAAAACGTATGTTTTTAATAATTTACTAAAATACTGTGCTAAAGTACTGTGGTGGTAAAATTTATTTCAATTTAAAGACACTATACCTATTTAATAATTAAAAACCTGGCAGAACATGCAAAGGTGCTTACGTACCTCTGTAGAAAGCCTGTTCAATGTAAGGAAATTACCAAAAACTTATGTCTCTCTCTCTCTCTCCTTCTCTCTCAGATATCGCCAGCTGACTGCAACTACGGCGAGACCCTTTCCACACTACGATACGCGAACAGAGCCAAGAACATTATCAACAAACCGACAATTAACGAAGACCCGAACGTCAAACTCATCAGAGAGTTGAGAGAGGAGATTGAGAAGCTCAGAGCACAGATATCATATAATACGGTAAGAGACTACGAGAGAGACGTGAATGTATTTATACTACTCACTAGAACGTTAGAGTCTTCTTAGAATCTTTCTAGAAAATTCTAAAGAACTGTTTCATGTTTCCAAGAATAAAGGGACCGCTTTCAATATAAACAAAATCGTGGGACAAGTTATTTCTGATCATTGTTCCGTGCCACCCTGCATTATTATTAGAACTATTCCTGGAATTACACCTATTAATGAACTCTCTCTCTTTTTTACTCGAAATTTCGTGACAATACTATGTATAAACAAATATTTTTGTGTTTGCAGTTAACTAAGTAAGAAATTATTTAAAACGATAATATGAAAATTTCTATCTCCCATTTTCCTGTATGTTGCGGCTACAGTTAGTTTAAAAAACTTTGAAACTCCGGTTGACAAAAGTCACCAATTTCTTGAACTCCCGACAAATTCTCTGTCATAATATCCATATTTTGGTGTAACTTGAAAAATTCAAATCAGACTAGTAACTTAAATATTGTGATTCAGGATCCAATAGAAACGGAACCAGCGGTCCTCGCCACTCTTCAACGGAAAGAAGCACAAGAGAAGGTACTCACAGAGAAATGGACGGAGAAGTGGCGGGAGACGCAGCAAATCCTTCAGGAGCAGAAGGCGCTGGGCTTGAGGAAGAGCGGGCTTGGTGTGGTGCTGGACTCTGACATGCCTCACTTAGTGGGCATCGATGATAATTTACTCTCTACTGGAGTCACTCTCTATCATCTCAAAGTGAGTGTTAAATTCTTCATTAAGTTTCATTATTATGATAGACCATGGTTCCTATGTACACACGGTAAAAGAAATACCTGGTCAGAAATGTAAACAAGCAACGCAGAATGGTATTGACACAATAATAATTTGAAAACTTATGAGTTCGTCCGGCGTTCTGATCCCAAACTAGGCAGACCCTGTACTATGGTAACCAGACTGCTGATAAACATCATCATCATCAGCCTATCGCAGTCCACTGCTGGACATAGGCTTCTCCCATTGCACGCCACTTAATCGATTTTGGGCTTAGATTTTGATAAACATACTTATATATTTTTAAATACATACATATTATAGATAAATTACATCCAGACACAGAACAAATGACCATGCTCATCACACAATATTTGTTCTGGAATCGAACCCACGATCTCCGGCTTAGCAGTCAGGGTCACAGACCAACAGACCCAGAGAGAAACAAGGGGAAATAGAAACGAGTTATTTAAAATTCACAGTCAAATGTGAACGTATAATAACATACTCGATGCTTTGATTTGTAAAATATCTTATTAATATATTGTAAGCAGTGTTAAGATAGTTATTAAGCGTCGTGTGGTCGGCAGGAAGGCGAGACGGTGATAGGTAGCGAGGAGTTGTCCCCCACGCCGGACATCGTGCTGAGCGGCGCGGGCGTGCTGCCGCTGCACTGCAAGGTGACGCTGCGCGCCGGCACCGCCACCATCCACCCCTGCGCCGGCGCGCAGTGCTGGCTCAACACCGTGCTCATCGACAAGCCCGCCAAGCTCAGCCAGGGTACGTTCACACGACACCCGGTGCCAGTGACGGCCCGTGGGTGGGGTGTGCTCACACGCAATTCTGAAATTCTGTAGGAAATTGACTGACTGCTTATCGGTAGAAAAATTTCATTGTGCGATGCAGGATCAGTTATGTGTAATTCGACTGATCTACGCTAGATGGTGCTGAATGTATAGATTACGCATTCAGATAATAAGCCGTTTTTTAAAATCATTTGTCGAATTTCTACAAGAGATTAGACTGGCTTTTGTATGCTTAAGTAAGGTTTTTTTGCATCAATTTTATTAGTATTTCATATTTTACAACAAAACTTACTACAATGCCATCTAACGGAGATACGCGTAACTACCAATACTGCATCGCACAATAAAAGTTGTCGCACCGAATAGTATTTATTCAACATCAACCAATGGCCGCGATCGCCAGGCATGATCACCTTGTCTGATTGGAGAATATTCCTCCACAAAATTTTCCTACTCACTCCCGAATTAGAGGGAGAAGCCTCTAATTCAGGAGTGAGTAAAGAAGGGGGAAGAGTCTAAAAGAAGCGACAACGCTATTGTGACTCTTGGTGTCCATCATCATCAGTAATAGTGTGTAAATTTTTTTTTCATAATTGTATCCATAGTCGACGGTAATCACTTAACATCAGATGAACCGCCTGCTCGTTGGCCTCCCTATGCTATAAAAAAAATGGGGTTACTAGTCGCATTATGTCCAGGTTATGCTTTGTCCCTCAGGTTGCATCCTCCTGCTGGGCCGCACGAACATGTTCCGCTACAACGACCCGGCAGAGGCGGCCAAGCTGCGCCAGGAAGGCAGCGTGTCCGTCATGAACCTCTCGCGCCTCTCGCTGCTGTCATGGTCCACCACGGACCTGGCTGCCAGCACGGAGAACCTCAATACTACCCTCTCGTTAGTACCTATCTACATGACCTATCATTTGTAATGACCTGGGTTGGAATAATTTATGAAATTATTACTAAAATATGTCTAATACGCTGTAGATGCCATATTGCTCTATAGTCATGGCTATGTAAACATATGCGATCAGCTGACACTTGACACTGTTTTTATTTAGTTTACACATTGCCGATTACTTTGTCATGGTCTTAAAAAAAAGATTAAATTATTCTGTTATTTTATGAACTAACATTTTCCGATTTCTTTTTGCCTTAGCTATCTTAATAATATATAAATAAATTATTATAATACAATTCATTAACTTATATTATTCAAGATCCCTTGTTGTTTTCAACTTTTTAATTTTTTGGAATTATTCCTTTATTTGTGCTGTAAGACGTTTCTTTTTGCCAAATTTCGTGATTCTAGGTCAACGGGGTAGTTCCCGTTGAGGTTTTCGACCCAAAACCTATAGGGTACTTCCGGTTGAACTAGAAAAATAAAAAAGTTGAAAATTAAGGTAAATTTTGGTACTTACAAGTTTTCGCGAAAATCGAAATTTGCTCATATCTTTTTATTGTGTTGACTCAGGACCTTGATTTTTATGCACCTAATAGGGACCATAGATCTCAGTATCTGGTATAAATTTCAACTTGCTAGGTCTACCCGTTCCTTAGAAAATCGGTGGTGACACACGGACGGACGAACAGACCGACAGACGGACAAGAAAGTGATCTTATAAGGGTTCCTTTTTTACCGTTTGAGGTACGGAACTCTAAAAATACTAAATCATTATAATATCTATTGTGCAAACATGAACTATTATTTTCTTTTCAGAGACCTAGAGAGTGAGATCAGATGTGAGCGTATTGAGGCTCAGAAGGCAGAGTTGGAGAGAGAAAGACAGCAGTTCTTACTTCAGCAGGAAGAAAGACAGAGACGGTGGCATGCCGAACGGGAAGAACTGCTACAGGCACAAAAGAAACTGGATGAGGTAAGAACAGAATCTATTAATAAATAAATAAACAAAATAATTTAACCAGGTCCCTTTTAAGTGTGACACCGTGTGGTACTCAGGTTGTTGTAAATGAAATATCTTCTTGGTTTGACTAGTATTATATTATCAGATAACGGGCGGGCCTGTTGATCTAGTGGTTAGTGACTCTGACTGCTAAGCCGGAGGTCGTGGGTTCGATTCCCACCCAGGACAAATATTTGTGTGATGAGCATGACCGTTTGTTCTGTGTTTGGGTGTAATTTATCTATAATATGTATAGATTTAAAAATATATAAGTATGTTTTATCAGCAGTTGGGTTACCATGGTACAGGTTCTGCCTAGTTTGGGATCAGACAGCCGTTTGTGAGGTTATTATTATTATAGATAAGTACAATACAGATTACAGTACCACAGTCAGATGAACAATGAATGTGGCCATAGTGCAATCCATCTTAGTGACGCGATAAATTAATCTATTAAGAATATATTAGATAGTGATGTTATAACAGCTGATACACTTTGTCGCTGACTTATTTCAGTTGTGAAAGAATTAAACTCCGGCGTGCATGGACCGGCCCGACCGGAGTGCGCCGAGTAAGGGCCCGTCCGCACAGCTAGTTTTTTAATCGCGTAAAAAAAAATCGCCGTCGTATCGCGTTCAATTTTATTTTTTTCCGCCAGTACGGTAAAGCTTATATAAATCCCATGTGTCACAGAATTTTGCGAAAAAAAAAAAACGCGCGTTCGATCACTGTGCGGACGGGGCCTAAGCAGTGTAGTAGTCTAGCTTAGTACATACAACGTAGACATCAAGAAACGGGTGAGCTAACAAGAGATGGTCGTGCGCAGGAGCGGTCGGCAATGGAGCGCGAATACGCGGCGGCGTGCCGGCGGCTGTCGGGCGACTGGCGAGCGCTAGAGCGCGGCTGGACCCAGCGGCGCCGCGCGCTGCGCTGCCGACAGCGCGAGCTGGCGCAGCGCTCCGCGCGCCTCACCGCGCTCAGCGACACGCACGCCCGCTGTGTGAGTCACCTTACCTTATACCGACATACTGTCTGAGACCGCTTCGCCTCACTGGCCAAGTGGCGAGCTGTCGTATCTGCCTGCCTCAAAGCGGGAAGGCTGACGGTTACGGAAATGTAAATGTAAGTAATTAGAATCGAGAAGAAAATAATGTGGCAACAATCAACAGCCTTTTAATATTTTTCATGTGCAAAACAATTTAATTTTTACCCCCACTTAAACAAAGTAGTAAATATTCTAAAACGGACTATGAAAATAGAAGGTTCTTAATTCGACAATATTTAATGTTAAATGTACCGAATGGAAAAAAGATATCTCAAATTATGTACATTCCTTATTCTCAATTAATAATTTAATACTAAAATTGACATTCTTTAGACGCATTAGAGTCGGTTATTCTTTTTAAAGAATAAAATTATCTTTTTATACGTTAAAAAGTATATCTATACTAATATTATAAAGCTGAAGAGTTTGTTTGTTTGTTTGAACGCGCTAATCTCAGGAACTACTGGTCCGATTTGAAAAATTCTTTTAGCGTTAGATAGCCCATTTATCGAGGAAGGCTATAGGCTATATATCATCACGCTAAGACCAAGTAGTATAAGTGAATAATGTTTCAAAAACGGAGAAAATTTATTACTATTGAGAGACGCAGACGAAGTTGCGCGGGTCAGCTAGTATTAAATACTAATCGACCCAGATACAGATAGATAGTTACACCGTAGTTTGACGTGTCTTGTTGTCTTGTTGTCGTTAAATGGTGATGATGACGTTGATGGTGGTTTAAATGATGTTTTTGCCACAGCATGAATGGCAATGAAACGAAGACTACAATGAATTGATGATAACGTTTACACTGTTCTGTTCTGATAATAACAGTTCTCATAATATTTACAAATCGCATTGAACTAACTGTTGAATGACTTACGCATAACCTGTAAGAAACAAAAACTATAAACTTAGTTGCCATAATCTACAGCGTTGATGGAAGTATATCAATACATACTTTCTTACGTAACTGCACGGATGGCGCAGTGGTTTAAGCGGTCGCCACGAGACTTAAAAGACATATCTTAAAAACATGTACAAAAAAGTGCGATAGTATATGTCTATCTCGTAGATAATCCACAGTAACTAATTTTATCTTTTATATTCCACAAAAAAAAATAGGAATTTACAAAGCTATTTTAAACAATACAGTATTATCCCTTAACCAAATAAATACGTTAGATACGTAGTGTAATATAGATTAACATTGCCTTTGTAGCATATCATTAAAATGAATATCTTAGTAGATATCAGAGATTTAAAATACATGGGCAAAGAGACCGGCCGGGCGGACCTATAAATCTATATTCCATAATAATATGATAAATGTGAAAGTGTGTCTGCTGTCTTTCTGACTGTTTCTTACCTCTTCACGCTTAAACCGCTAAACCGATTTATATGAAAATTGGTATAGAGATAATTTGAGTCCCGGGAAATGACATAGGATAGTTATTATTCCAGATATCATCGTTTAAGGGGGTGAAAAGGGGTGTGGAAGTTTGAATAGATAAACCAATAACCGTTGAACCGATTTAGATGATATTTGAAAAAGCTATATAAAGATGTCTTGTGGTATAGTCTTATCATAATCATATAATAATTAATTACTCCACACTGACACCACATTAGTAGTATCTACATTGCACCCGTGCAAAACCGGATCGCTAGTTTATATATCATAAGATATGTAGGTATATAGATATGGATATCCATATTTCCATACTTATATTATTAATGTAAAAGTAAGCTTGTTTGTTACATTTTGACGCCTAAACCACAAATCCGTTTTTTTTTCCGATCCGATTTCCAATGGATAGCTACATTATCAACGAGTAATATAGGCTATTTTTTTACCGCGACAACCAACATACACGCGAGCGGAGACGCGGTAAAATGCTAGTAAAGAGAAAGAATATTTATCCTTCAGATAAATACCTTACGTATTGAGATCTAATTACATTTGCATCACACACTGTGTAGGCAATCAACGGTGTCATTGTCCTAAAAACCATAATAACTTAACCCCTACTGTCGGTTCTCGAAGCGATCGACTGTTTCCGTGATGCAATGACTAATCGGTGTATCATGTACAGAAAGAACTCAACAAACTCTTTTTCAAAAAGTACTATAATAGAGAAAGTATAGCACTTCAAACGCACTCAACCAGGCCCACTTCGGGATCGACCTATAGCATTGAACCGCAATAGGCTGATCGTTTAATTGATTGACAGTTTGAAAAAATGTACCACTAGTCTATATTTAAAAAACATAGGTGATCGACCTGCACCTTAGAGCACTGATTTTCTGTATTACATCGTTTGATATTAAGTAAAGTGACGATATTTAAAAGTTAACAGAAAATTACGAGTATTTCGCCTGTTCCTATTGAGAAGGTCGGATATGCAATTGATTTTGCATTTCTTTTTTACTATTGACTATTCTATTGATCGACTGGCCTGTTGGTCTAGTGGTTAGTTAGTGACCCTGACTGCTACGCCAGAGGTCGTGGGTTCGATTCCCACCCAGGACAAATAATTGTGTGATGAGCACGATCGCTTGTTCTGTCTGGGTGTAATTTATCTATAATATGTATGTATTTATAAATATATAAGTATGTTTATCAGCGGTCTGATTACCATAGTACAGGCTCTGCCTAGTTATGGATCGTCTGAGCCGTGTGTGAGATGTGTGAAACTATTATTTTAATTATAAACTATTATTATTGACTAAAAGAAAAACAATGTTTTTCAGCAGCTTTAACAAAAAGCAATGTTTTCCTCATAGTTTATTAAATAGCTATGTTAACAAAGTAAATATGTTATATATAAATTAAGCAATTTTAATTGCTTATTTGCAGATCCTACATTATTAATACGGACGGGCGAATTTTTATAATTATGTTGTGATATTTAGATAATAAAAAATATTAAAAGGCTGTTTGATTTCATATTAATAAGTACACGTTTTGAAATAACATTATTATTTTTATAAATAAGGTAAGAGTATATAATAGTTATGTTTGCATCGTGCTTGATTCTCATAAAATTCTCACATATCACAATTTATCATCGAGTACCATTAGTAGCGTGTAGTGTTCGACACAAACAATGCAATTATTGTTTTTAAGATTCCCACTATTTGTCACTTTTAGTGTTAGCGCACTCACGCGCAGTCGTTTCTGTTGAAACGTTACTTTTAACCGACTTCAAAAAAAGGAGGTTCTCAATTCCATTGTTTTTTGTGGCTGTTTCATGTATCTGTCGGTAGGTGGCGCTATTTTATTTTATTTTTACGAAGCTCTGGATTATGTTGAACTGTTATTAATTATGTACATATCACCATTTTATTCTACAGCACTTGTAGGTTTTTAATAAAATTTGTATTTTTCGAATTGTCACTTATGGGTTTGTACAAAATTTAATATTTATTGTTTATAAAAGGTCGAGTCCAGATAGGAAGTAAACTAGAAATTGTTAAATTTTTTGAATGCTGTAAATGATAACTTTCGATATCGATAATTACAAGGTATTCATCCTGCACGAACACATACATTACTGCACGGATGGCGTAATGGTTTAAGCGGTCACCTCGCTGCTTACTACTACGCTGAGTGTTGTGGGTCCGATCCCCACATGGGACATCACTTTGTGTGATCCACAAATTAATGTTCTGAGTCTAGGTGTTCTTTGTGTCCGTTTCATGTATGTTTGTAAAGTCCCCCGCGACAGAGGATATATTCCTAATGCGGGAATTGTCTTTTTAAAAATAAAGAAAGAAATGTGGAGGTCAAGCGACCCTGCTGACACAGCGTCTCACAGGGAATATGAATTCGTATAATTCTTACAGTTGACCTAATCAGCTGCTAACATCGAAACACGCTGATGAAATTTCAAAAAGTTTTTCTTTTAGTAAATCTTTAAAAAAGCTCGGTACTAATTAAAACACACCTATTATTTTTTTAAGTACGGCGCAAGCGCACACACTGTCTTTGACTAACCACAGTCTGTAAGGCGAAGTTCATACGTGCGCGTACTATGTACATAAACGCAACAGATTAGGAGTTCTAGTTAGGGAGATATTTGAGGAATATTGTTTTGGAAACCATTTTCATTTTGTTTGCTATTATTTACTTACAAATCTGTTGAGTGACTGATGGTTTCGTTTCATCACGATTAAATTGTCAACCGATTAAAAGTCTCAAGTGCGCGGTGGCTCTTATGTTTGGTGTTGTCAAAGAACTCGCTAGATATTTGTATGAACAGAGTGTTATGTGTGTATTAGTAGGGACGCCAATGCTTCCTTATTAGCAAACATAAGAGACCTTGTCTTGTTAAAGGAAGACATTCCAATTTTCTCCGAATTTACACTCTTTTTTTTTAGAAATTAACCCTAAAAAGAAACAAGTACTTAACTTAACCAGCGAAATAACTAGAAATGGCTATTTCGTTGCGCTTTATGCCGTGGAAGTGGGCGCGAGGGGTATACCAGCTTAATCCCTCTACAACCTGCTTAAAGGCCTTGGATTGATAAAGATTCAGTAAGCTTTTTTCTTGAACGAATATCCAAAATGGCATTACTAGGCTATCGAATGTGGTTAGGTAGAGGGGGTGTCACAGCAGAAAGTGAAGGTGAGCGCTGACCCGTCGCAAGGAGTACTGCCTAAACCTACTCCTGGGTCGCAATTCCCAGGCGCCATCGCAATTCAACGTGATGGACCCGGCCTACGCACTGTGAATCCATCTAAGGCTAAGAATTAGGTGTTTTCTAGATATCCATACATTTAAATTTCTTGTTCTTATTGACTGATTTATCAACGCAGAGTATAAACCTACAAACTTGAAATTTTAGCAGCTAATGCTGTTTATATTATAAGCACCCACTAAGAAAGGTCTTAGGTAAATTTGACCCCTAAGGACATAAATCAAGTGATGAAGTCATTTTCAAAGTTAGAAACACGAAAAAAAACATAACCACGCGATTAAAGGAACGGATAATAGTTGGTTGTTAACACAATAAGAAAAGATTAAGCAAATATATCGACCCGTTCTCACGTCACGCTTACCAGCGGACAGCATTTAGTTTTAATTTTCATGCATACGATGGTACGTGATTTTTTGATATCAAAAGCTGTTCAAAGATATATCAAACCCTTTTTTTCGTTTTCCTGTGCAATAATCCCCTCGGATAACCAGGGGGATTTCGGGTACCAATAGCCGGGGAACCAGGTGTACCCTAGAAAGGAAATACCTGGTATATATCGAACCCTATTATGAGTTGCTCATATAATATAACGGTATTATCACAAATCCAGAGCTTCTCGTTCATTTTTGGTTGCATTTATCAATATAGGCAGAGAATGAGGAGAACCACGTGGGGGCGCTGCGGACGCGTGTTGGCGATAAGCGAGCCGCCTTGGAGGAGTATATCAACAACAGTATCAAAGAACTCGTGGCGAACGGATGTAGGCTTGACGAGGTAAGGAGTTGTTGGTTTTGTTTGCCGGTACAGTTTCAAATATAAATACAAAACAATAGTAATTTAGTTCTGGATGTGTTGTTCGACTTATTCTGTTACATGTTACGTTGATGCAATTTACGAAGCTTACATAAGATAATAGGTAAAGTTGTTTGATTATTAGAACATTGCTTGTCAAATAACTAATAAGTATTTAAATAGTTTAGTACTAATCTATTACAGAAACCTGTCATGATAGTGATTGTGTTGTAAAAAAAATGTATAAAAGATCAAATAAGTATATTTTTATATATACTAATTTTATCTTCTCTTCTTTTTTATTTCCACTACCCAATACCTCTTCCCTTCATGTGTTCTCTCCATACCACGGTTGTCTGTAAGAGATTGCCTCTGAGCGATAAGGCCGCCACTTGTACTTGTCTAACCTAGACTAAGGTAATTATTGTATATTGATACCCGGTGTACAATAAAGCGATATATTATTATTATCATCACTAAAGGTGGATAATTGAAGAATATAGAATACAGTTTATTATTTTTCAGTATCGTTTCAGTAACAATTTCAAACTTAATTATAAAATATGCATTTAAACTTCAAATTCAACGTTTGATTATTTTAATAAAAAAATTCAAAGATATGTCTATTTTTACATTTTGTTTTTCGTTACATTGTAAACATACTAAGATGCAGATATTTTCTCAAAACAATTGAATGTATTACCTTGTTACGTATCGTACAGGAAAAAGAATTAAATACACTAAACTCATTATCATATTGTTTTAAGATAATTATGTTAAAAAATCTTTTATTTTATTAGTTTTTATATTGCCAACTGTACGAGCGAACGAAGCATGATTATTTATTATTTAGATTACTTAAAAACAATGCATGGTAGTTTCTTTAAAACGTTCAAAGTATAAAGTTTAAATATTATATTTTTAAGACTACCATTAAGTTGAATATTTTGAAATGAAATACGTCTCTTTTTTGATAATTAGTTACTTAATAATTACTTAGTTTAAAGAAATACAATATAACGTAGTGGGACTCTAAGCCATTTTTTAAATTTTAATGTTTTTACAACTGAAATGATGTCGTGACAAAAAGTAAAATGGGATTTAGCCTTTTTATTACTTTATGAGCGAAAATGTTATGTGTATGTCTAAAACATATGAATGAATTCCGTGTGGTGACGGATTAAGAATACGGCGTGTCACAACCCCTATTATCCTGTGTCATAAGAGCCGAATAATGGAGCAAATTACTCAGGATAACAGCACTGAAGAGAAGGAAATATTGAAACGAACCCTATACCAATCTGTCTCGCCACCGTGATATAGGAGGCCAAATCCTCCTTTCTCAGGAGAGGCCTATGTCCAACAGTAGACTGTTAAAGGCTGATGATGATATGAATGAATTAGGATTTCAGGATCAAATCAAAACACTTTTGGGAAAAGAGTATAAATACCCTATTCGTAAAGACCTCAAAGTGTACTTCCTCCTCAATCAAAGGACGGCCATAAGCTTGTGACTCCTGAGCTGTAGGCGGTCGTAGTCACTTTCCATCAGGTGACACGTCTTATCATAATAAAACTCTTTCACCTTACCTTAATATGACACTTCGACCCATAGCAGAACTCAGAACAGAGCGGACGCAGTGGAGATCAGAGAAGTCACATCAACAGCCTTTAATAATCCACTGCTGGACATAGGCCTCTCCTTAGAAAGCAGGTTTTGGCCTACTATACCACGCTGGCCAGACGGGTTGGTATAGGGCTTGTGTCAAGTTTTCATTCTCTCTGCAGTGCTGTTCTGCGTAGTTTTCTCCCTTAGTCGGCTCTTAGGACGCCCTCGATGAACAGGGGTGGTGACACTCAGTATTCTTAATCCGTCACCACACGAGTCAGAGAAGTGCCAAGACATAAATTCTAGACTATTCTACATATAATTAATGTTAATCCGCAGAGTTCTACCCCAAGTCCCGATAGCCCAGCTTCGGAGACCAGCACTGAGAGTTTAATGCACTTATTGAACCAGTGCGAACCGAAGGTCGCTACCAGCATCAAAGAGACAGTTGAGAGACACGTGAGTAACTTAATTATATCTCAAACTACAGAGATGAACGCTCCTAACTTGATTACACGGATGGCGTAGTGGGTAAAGTGGTCGCCTAGCCCCTGTTTCGAGTTCGATTTTCTTATCTTTCTTATACATAGTCCTTATGTAAGTTATCTGACTATTAGTATAGTCCCCCTCGACACAGGAATCATTCATAGTATGTGTGTGCAACGCACTTGGGACTCATTAGTTGCAGGTGGCCACTTACCATCAGGTGACCTGTTTGCTCGTTTGCCTCCCCCCCATACCATAAAAAAATCATTAACGGGCCATCTTAATATGCTAATTTTTTTTAGAAAAAAGAGCTGGTGGAATTAGAAGAAGAATTACAATGTAGAGTAGCATCTGTGGCCTCTCACCGAGTTAAGATTGAAAGGCTACAATCGGAGCTCGCTCTTCTCGGAACTCAGGAGTTGGGACTGAAACACGCTCTCGCTTCTGACTTAGGACCAACAGCTGTCCGAGGTACGCTACCATAATTGTCACACAACAAAACCCACCAACCGCATACCCTAATACTTGTCTTTGACTGTTGGTGGACTGGTTAGTTACTCTAACTGCTACTCCAGAGATGGTGGGTTCGATTCCTATCCAAGACAAATAAATGTGTGATTATTACGTTTTTATTTGCCGCGTGTGAGATTTGTGTAGTTATTATTATTAGTTAAGCATCTTCGAGAGACGCTAAAGAAATATTCAGTGTGATTTTCCATTATTTTTACTGCTGGATCATTGTTAACAACATAAATAACTTTAAAATTTTAATTAATCTCTTAAAGGAAGCTGAAAATATTTAGATAATTGTCGGTATGTCATATGTTGTATTTAAATAATGCAGTGTCTTAGAACTATTGCCGACAATGATGAGGATTATCACGCATTAAAGGAGAATGCCCATTATACTTAGACTACACGGATGGCGTAGTGGTGATGCGCTGAGTATTGTGGGTTCGATCCCCACATGGGACGACACTTTGTGTGATCCACAAATTGTTGTTCTGAGTCTGGGTGTTCTTTGTGTCCGTTTCATGTATGTTTGTAAGATTCCCCGCGACACAGGATATTTTCCTAATGCGGGAGTTGTCTTTTTAAAAGAAAATATTAAAATAAAGAGCATTAAAAAAAAGGAATGTTCTAGAAGACAATTGCGACACATCTCCAGTGGATGGCGTGAAACGAAGCAAATCAGAGTTGGTATTGCGAACGCCACGTGAAGATGTTCTCGAGCCTCTGTCGGCCGACGAGAGGGACGAGTACAGGAATAAACGGATCAAGTAAGTACTTATACATTTCATGTATTCAATAACGGGCCTGTTGGTCTAGTGGTTAGTGGCCCTGACTGCTAAGCCAGAGGTCGTGCGTTCCAATCCTGCCCAGCATAAATATTGTGTGATGAGCACGGTCATTTGTTCTGTGTCTTGGTGTAATTTATCTAAAAAAAAATATATATATATATATAAAAAAAGCCTGTATTGCCGTATCCTTAAATTCCATTTCAAATGTTGGTATTTGTTTGTTAGTGTTTAGTTAGTTATTCATGTTTTTCTAATTGTCTAAATGTTAGTAAGGGTTAGTTTTTTCTATTTGGATATGGACCCCTCCTCGGGTCAAGGCCTCCTCCAGTCCTTTCCACTCATCTCTGTCCGTGCCGATATTTTGCCAGTCTTTTCCTATTAATTCGGTTATATCGTCAGCCCATTTTCTTTTTGGTCTCCCTACCCTTCTTTTACCGATTGGCCCTTTCCACTTTGTAGTATTGATTGTCCACCTGCTGTCTGTGTATCTCGATACGTGACCTGCCCACTGCCACTTCAATTTTAGAGCTTGCGTGAGGGCATCTGTTATCTTTGTTTTCTGCCTGATTTCCTTGCTCCTGACTTTTTGTATCTTTCTTATATTTAGGATGCTTCTCTCCATAGCTCTTTGTGTTGTTGTGATCGTTTGTTTTGCTTTTCTTGTGTATATCCAAGTTTGGCAGCCATAGAGTAGACAAGGCAGTATACAGGTGTGTAATACCGTTTTCTTAAGGTTTAACGAGTAGTCTCCTTTTAGAATTTCTTTGAGTGACCAAAATTTCTTCCAAGCTATGTTTGTTCTTCTTTCAATTTCATCTTCATTGTGCGTTTTCAAAAATGATATTTGTTTGCCTAGGTAGATGTAACTGTGGACATATTCTATAGACTTTTCTTTTACATTGATGGGCCGTTCTCTGCAGTTTGTCATGATTTTAGTTTTTGTAGCATTCATCTCTAATCCTATTTTTGAGCTCCTATTTATGAATTTATCTATAATATGTATGTATTTAAGAATATATAAGTATGTTTATCAGTAGTCTGGTTACCATAGCACAGGCTCTGCCTAGTTTGGGATCAGACGGCCGTGTGTGAGATGTGTGAAGTTATTTTTAATATTTATTTTTACTGTAACTTATATGCATCTGCTCAATTCCGACTCGTTTGTAACCACAATGCGCTCTCTATTTTGATATGAATTTTCATATATTTTTGTTCTTTTTCTCAGTAAATTAAAATAATATGTTAACACTAGTACCATTTTCGTGCGAAAATCCCCTCGGTTACCCCCCTTCCCCCAACTAAAACCGCACACCTTCTCAGGTACCACTATCAGGAAATATCTGGTATCCAGACGAACCTCGACTTACAGATTTTCCCCTCGTGTGTTCTAGTAGTCCTATAATGTATATTAAAGATAAATCATCATCATCATCATCAACAGCCTATAATAATCCACTGCTGGACATAGGCCTCTCCTTGGAAAGGAGGTTTTGGCCTACTATACCACGCTGGCCAGACGGGTTGGTACGGTTTTTTTTCAAGTTTTCCTTTTCTTTGTAGTGCTGTTGTCCTGCGTTGTTTGATCCCTTAATCGGCTCTTACGACACCCACGGGATAAATAGGAGTGGTGATAGTGCGTATTCTTAATCCGTCACCACGCGGATATCGTCACCACACGGATATAACTAAAGATTATATTGTTATATATACATTAAAGACCTGCGTGTAATTACGTGTTATTATCAGTGATGCCCGACTAGTTTAGGGTTTGACAGGAGCTTTTATCAAGGGCCGCTACGTTTTTTTTTGCGATTGAAAGCTCGTTTATAAAAACGCCGCCATTTCTGTTTTATTGTGTGCTGCGGGAGTTGTTTGACTAATGTGATGTAACAGTGAATTCCTTGTAACAGTATTTAACTTGGACCGACCGTCAAGCAAAGGCAAACTCGATCTACTGAATCCTATCTACTGCCTCTGTTAAGTCTCAAAGACGGTTTATCTCGATTGGTTATTTTTATAAGCTAATATGGACCTCTTATTAAAGTAGATAAATTGCAACATAGTATCTTATAAGCATCTTCGATTCCCGCCGACCTGACCCATGTTCTTTATAAATACTAAATTATAAAATATAAATTTGACTGCACGGATGGCGTAGTTGTTTAACCGATTACTTGCTTTCTACTACGCTAAGTGTTGTGGGATCGATCCCCACGTGGGACAACACTGTGTGATCCACAAATTATTATTCCGAGTCTTTGTGTCCGTTTCATGTATGTTTGTAAAGTCCCCCTCGATACAGGATATAGGGGGAAGTCCCGTAGCGCCGGACGGCACCTAGCCTCGGACACTCATACTATTTCGACAAACGTCAAAGCGATCTATTTATAAATCGGTGAAAGGGGTGCGGGGGAACGTGGCGAGACAGGATCACGCAACGCGATTTGCCAGTGAGGCGCACAGTCGTGGTGGAAGCGGTGGATTGCTGTTTTTCGTGGGAAAGCGTTGCGTCACGTAAATTTCAAGTAAGTATTACTGCTATGGTTTTATCCTTAATTGTTTTTGTTATTTGTTAATAAAGACAGTGTTTCATTATAATTATTATATTGTGAAAGTTTTTATTAAATACCTAAACAGTTTTAGTATGAAATACGTAATTTTGGACATTTCCTGTCCCCTACTTTCGGACACAAAGGTGTCCCTTACCACCGGACAATTTATAGGTTAGCTTTTTTATGAAGCATTTGTACTTATTGTAATGATGATTGTTTGTTGTTTTACAGGATAGAAGGAGAGATATATTTGAAAAAGCAAGAGAGAGAAAAAAGGAAAATGGGATCAGCAAAGTTTAAAAACTGCGATGAACAAGATTTTGTCCAAAAAAATGAGTTTGAGGGCATCTTCGTCACGTTACAATGTTCCAAAAAGTACTCTACATGATAAAATAACGACATTGAGCAGTGAAAAGAATTCACGTTGCAACCAAAAGTTGGTAGATTCACAAAAACCTTCTAACCCAACCCTTCAACCTATGAGCAAGTTTTAGTGGACCACATAAGAGATTTGTCTAATAGATGTCTGCCCCTGATGAAAAACGGGTTTTTGAAGTTAGCTTACGACTTGGCTGAAGCTATGAAGATTCCCCATGAGTAAACAAACCAAAGATGCGAAGGCAAAAGGAAGACGTGGCAATAACGACAACAAAAAGGAGCCGCTAACTGAAGTATCAAATTTAGAAAAACGACTTGTGTAGTGTGTTTAGAGGACCACGACGAGGACTGGATACAATGCTCCAGATGCCAATAATGGGCTCATGAAGCATGTGCAGACGTTCCAGAATGTGGAGATGCCTACATATGTGATAGATGCACAATGTTTTAGAATGTCCGGCGCTTGGGGTTTGAAGATTAACCCGTCCGGCACTAGGTGCCAATGTCAAAGTCCTTTATTTTTTTACCAAAACTTATTTAACATTCCTAAACTATGTTTACGCAGAAGTTGTATTTTTGTTATTTGATTTTGATTTTATGTTTTGTTAATTTAAGTAATTCATAAATAAATACATATTTCTCTATGTAGTTTTGATTTTATTTCCTGAAAACCTTATGTGTCCGTCACTAGGGGACTTCCCCCTATTGCTAATGCAGGAGTTGTCTTTTTAAGAGAAAAGAGAAAATATATTAATAATTAATTTATGTATTCCTGTAGCCAATATTGTTGATTATATTTTCCCTTACAGTTTAAGCTTGAGCTTGGATCCTTTAGCCTCACCGAACTCCACTTTGAACACCGATGAGACCTTCCATACAGCTTCTTCTACTCCCAAGCGCTTCCCGGCATGGGCAATTCCTTCTCCATCTACCGCAGACAGCTCCGCCCCCCCTAAGACTGAAGATTCGGAGCCGCCGCCACCACAGCTTCAGTTCAGACTGGGACCTGTCCCCGCCGATGATAGCGATGACATGTCCAGTACAGAAGATTATCATAAGGTAGGTTATTAATCATTTTTATGATGATCTACTGATAACCTATTTCCAATATGTACAAACTGAAGGACTACTTCAACTCCAGCAGTAAGCATATGCCCACACCTACCTACGCATGCTCGCATACACGCACACGTACACACACACGCCCCCGCACACACACACACACACACACACACACACACACACACACACACACACACACACACACACACCCTCATACACACGCAAAAAATCTGATAGGCTTAAATACTAAATAGTATTTTTATTTTCAGCCAAGAATAGTGGAAGGTCAGTCCTCGAGTTCCGTGGAGCGATCACCAGAGGAACGCCAACAAAGAACCAAGTACAAAAGAAGATTACCAGGTAACGCCACAAATGTATATCCTCAAAATGATATTTACTACAGACTTATACATAAATTAGAATAATTTAAAGTGGAGTAAAACTTGTGATATACTCACATTATTTAACATATTAACAATTTATACACTTTGGTTATGCAAGTATCTTGTAATTTAATTATAGATGCGTAGTCATAATAATATTACTGCAATAACTTGTTGTAATTAAAATAAGCAATAACAAGTTAATTAAAACATTTTTTTAAGGTAAGACAAAACAAATTATAAATTGTTAATTAATGGCATATACCCACATTATTTAATTTAGATTTTTAATCATTAATAATATAAAACAATATTATTACCGAAATAGTTGTTATTTATACTCAAAAGTCCTTCATTAAAAAAACTCTATTTGAATTAGCTATTATTGTTAAACGTCTTCTAGACAAAGACAAAACAATTCAGTATTGCTCGTTTCTTTGTTATTTTGTGGTTCCAATGGTGTTACGTACGTATATTTGACAGTTTTGTTACAGGTCTTTATCAGATAATACCAATAAATACTCACCATAAATGTTTTGTTATTTCCCAGGCGAAGGCAAGCCCGGACGTCGACAAGTGACGGAAGTGGAAGCCCTAAGAGCTATGCAGCGGCTCTGCTCTCGGATAGCGTCACAGAAGATGTTGGTCATATCATCTCTGGAGAATGACTGCTCCAAAGAAGAACTCAACAGACAGATCGCGGTATGTGTTTATCTAAGTGTTAGAAGAAGTTAGAGGCTCGAGGGCTGGGACTATACGAGGTACAGGGATGCTGTATTCGTTTAATTTCCATTCCCCCCTAACATTCTTACCGTTATACGGCAATGACGGCCATAAAACTTGTGTAAAATTATAATCGACAAAATGTGGGCGTTTAATAAGCTTATGCCTATCCTTTTGAAAAAATATGAACAAGAGTAGTGTGGGTACAGTAACTTATACCTTACTACAGCTAGATGCAAACTTAATGGACAATAGACATCAGCGGGACGTGAAGGAGCGGGGCGGGGGGGGGAGGGGGGCAGGGTGACACACGACACGTATGCCTTTTAGTGTGTGAGTTACGTCCGTACACTGCACACGCGCGCATATTCCTGTCTACGTACAGTGGCGTACAGTCGAGTCGACTTGACTGTAGGTACCTGCGCACACCTGTGTTGCGCAGCTAACTTCAGAGCAGCCATTAAGTTTGCATTGAACTATACAATATTTTTCAATTTTTTACTCCTCGGTGACAACCCGTAGTACATGCCACGACCTCATCTAGGTTTCACCCAGCAATTCATAAATATGGGTTAAAATTATGTTTTGTAAACTGCTTTGCCAAATACGATAGACATCTAAGCTCTCAGAATGTGACCAATCGTGTTTTGGAGAAAGATGGGTCATGCAGTATGGGTATGTTAATAAGTATGTATGTGGATGTTAAACACGTATACTTATTATAGAGTAAGTACAGAAGAGAAGAAGTTTAGAAGAGAAGTACTGTCTGAAGTTGTATGTAGTACAGTTGAGTAATGTTTGCGGGTTAATAATGAATACACGTATTAAACATTAAAGTATTTAATTCCGACTGCACATACAATAAGATTTGCCTGATACTCACGTTTATACATATGTATATAGTATATATCTATATATATAGTAAATATACTATATACGATATCTAAGACATATAACTACTTAATACAATTACCCTTTTTTTTTCGTGCGGAAATCCCCTCGGATACCACCTATCGGTGGCATGTCGGACTCGAACCGACTAAAACCGCACGCCGTCTCGGGTACTAATAGCCGGGGAACCAGGTATACCCTAGAAAGGAAATCCCTGGTGTCCCGACATAATACAATTACCCTACATTACAGTATATAAGGTGGTTCATTGTTGTGTAAAAGAGCGCCTCTCGCCTTTAAACGTACAACTTTGGCGAGTTTAGAATTAAGTAACACCTCTATTATAATATAAATACTAGAATAAAAAAAAATAGGATCGTAAAATTTTCTTCAATAACTGTTCCTTTGTAAAGTATATTATAAATCGTTGCAGGTGCTCCAAGAACTGCAAAAAAAATACGTCCGGTTAGAAATGGCACTCCAGTACTCGTTCTTTGACAACCAGTCACGGAGGCCCATGATGGTCACTCCCATACAGGAGACGCCGTCGCTGACGCTGTCCGAGAGCGACATGCAGGTGGCCACGGAGGACAATGAGGAACCTACTGAGAACGGACACATCGTGGACCCTTTGCTGCACAGGTAATGTTCTATACGACTGCACGGATGGCGTAGTGGTTTAAAAGGTCACCTCGCCGCTTCCTACTGCGCGGAGTGTTGTGGGTTTGATCCCCACATGGGACAACGCTTTGTATGATTTACAAATTATTGTTCTGAGTGTTTTGTGTCCGTTTAATGTATGTTTGTAAAGTCCCGCAACTCAGGATATATTTCTAATGCGGTTGTCGTCTTAAAAAAACAATGTGAAAGGAGAATGATTTGGTTTCAATGGGTGTCCCACAGAGCTGAATACTGGGGCCCGTTTTCCTCGTCTATATAACCTTTCCTCGTAAAGGACAGTGGAGATTTTTTTTATGGTAGTGGGGGGCAAAATTTTAATTTTACGGTCACCTGATGGTAGGTGACTACCGCTGCCCATTGACATATGCTATGCAACTCCGTTGATGCCTTTTGAGTGCTCCCCAAGATTTAGTAAAACCCCCTATTCATCCCGTGGGTGTCGTAAGAGCCGACTAAAAGAGCAAACTACGCAGGACAACAGTACTGCAAAGAGAAGGAAAACTTGAAAACCTTCTTTCTAAGGAGAGCCCAATGTCCAGCAGTGGACTGTTATAGGCTGTTGATGATGTGAGGCCCATTTGGGGAATAAAATGGTAATTGTATACAAAGACACCTTGAAGTTTTATCTCTGTGATATGTAAGTAAACGTTTACAAAATTGTAGATAGATGGTATTGCCTTCTAATTAACGCGAACTAGAGTAATGAGTGTATTGTTGGTACAGGTTAAAAGAGCAGGAGCTGGAGGGTTCAGACAACGTGTCGACCTCAAACGATGAGCTTCCTCACGAGCCCTCGCCGTGGGACGACCCGCTACACAGGAACAATCACTCCGCAGCTGAGAGGCGCGTCGTACAACTCAATATACCGGTAAGTGGTGGTTTTACTTCATTTTTTATTTTTTTCGTTTATATTTCAAAACTGACCGCGTATCGGAAGACGTTGCGTGGTTAGGCCTCCATCAGAGCTGCAGGTCCTACCTGGTCTGGGGGAACTGAGGTCGAGGTCGGCCGGCACAATAAATACCTCGGCCTCGGCCTGGACAGCCGCTGGAGCGACGAGGACCATTTCGAGCGGTTGATACCCCGAGTTCGCGGGGTGGCGGGCTCCCTACAGAGGCTGTTGCCTAATCTAGGGGATCCGCGGGAGGAATTTCGCCGCCTCTACTGTGCGGTGATACGATCCATGGCCCTCTACGGAGCGCCGATATGGGCCAAGCGCCTATCGGCCTCCTCCCGCTGCCGAGCTAAACTCCATAATAGGGGTTTACGGGGCGCGGCGTCGATCCGGGGCGGACCTTAAATAACATAGTCCGGGTTCTCTTCGGAGTAGGGCGCCTGAGTCCAGTCTTTAGTGGAAACACCACATACTCCTGGCTCCTACATCCCCAAGGAGTTCCCCTATGTTCAGCAGTATACGTCTTTCGGCTGAGACGACGAGACGCTGAATTTCCAAACTAACCTCGCTCACCACGTAATTTAGTCAATAATAAAACCTGATACCGAATAGTATCGATCTTAAGAGCAATTGAAAATATGACGTGTCTTTTTGGTAATATAATATAAATTTGTTTGGCTGAGATGTGAACATTTCTTTTTTATTTTCATTTCAGCAAGAAGACCCAATGATATTTCCTGGTTTAATGCATCCTATAGACTTCAGTAAGTAGAATATATTTTTGTATGAAAAACTTGAAACATAACGGTAACGATGGAAGAATACTGGCTAAAATATTGCAAGTAAATAATAATAATTTCTTGGCACGTCTCATCAGACTTACTAAAATACATAAATATTATAGATAAATTACACCCAGGCAAAAAACAATTGGTAGTGCTCATCACACAACTATTTGTTCTGGGTGGGAGTTGAACCCACTACTTGTATTCACTTATTACTTACTATATTGTATTAACTTGTGAGTTTAAATCATTGTTATTATTAGAGCAGCCAAATACCTTGCCTTGCCTATATAATAATATATATTGCACTACGTGAGCCGGCGTGTAAGTTTATACTGAATATCTATGCACTATGCAAATATATGCACCTACCGACTATTACTTTTTCCGAAATTTAGACGACTTTTTAGTGGGTAAAAAATTCAATTCCCGAGAGGCAGTACAAAATGCCTTTGAAGAGTTTGTTGCCTCCCGTCCAGCTGATTTTTACAAGAAGGGTATCAATAAACTGCCAATGCGTTGGCAAAGATGCGTCGATTGCATGGGTGATTACTTCGAATAACAGAAATAAAAAAGTTTGAAAAAATAAGTACTTTCACTTATTGCATACAAAACGGCAATTTCATAGGTAAATACCTATTATTAAATACACATGCGACCGAGCCGACGGTCGAAGTTACTTCATACAACGATAAGTTAACACAAGTTCATAAACGGAATGTCATTTAACATAAATAAAACAGAAGTGGAGTGGTGAGTGTGTCGTATACATAAGTGGGTGTGGTGCGCAGACGCAGTGGTGAGCATCCCGGGGTGGGTGACGCGCGGCGCGGGCGCGTCCACGCACCACGAGTACGAGGTGCGCATCGAGCTGGGCGAGCACGCGCGCTGGCTGCTCCTGCGCCGCTACCGACGCTTCCGGGAGCTCTACCTCACCATGAGGCGCATCTACGGACCTAAGGTACACCTCTCTTGTATTGTAGGGTGCAAACAACACATTCAAATTATTGCTACTTTTAAATCATATTCTTTTGATGAAGTTGAGATCAAAGTGTGAAACTATTTAATTGCCTACCTGCAGAAATAAAAATGGAAATCTATAAGACACACATATTTAAAAAAAGAGGTAAAGCCTTCTTATTGGAAAAATGTTATTATTCTGTAAATGAATTCACTGGCTCATCTTGTAACTGACATTAAAATCCTAGGGACATGTTAGGGATATAATTATTGTGTGATCTCTTGTTTCATTTGACATGACAATTCTAACTGGCATTTAGTTTGCATTAAGTACCTGTTTGAAATTTAATTTATTTTGTTTGACATTATTATTTTTGACATCGAGTGATTCATTTTGTTAATATGACTGGTTGGAGTTGTGAATGTTATATGTATATTTGAAATGTTTTTAACTTATTTTAGATGGTTTAATGTGAATTGTTTTTAGAGATTATATGTTACTTTTTTTTCTCACTATTATAAAGTATTATATTCACACACAATTGTAATAAATTGTTAATGAATTAAATAAATAAATAAAGTTATTAGTTTCAGTCACAGCGATGTCACATGTGATTGTGATTTCGTCATAATCAAAAATAAATGGCATTAAAATCAATCTTTTTTTTTATTGCAGACCTTTTTTTTAAATTTATAACTTTCGCGAGTCTTGAGCTAGTGTAATAATAATTAAGTCGCAGTGGTTTTGTAAATCAGTCACCAGTGTGATTGTTGAGTTACAAATCATATAATTTATCACATATTATTGTGATTTTATTCCATCCCTGGTGCAAACGAGCAGACGGGTTACCTATCTCCCTCTCCTATCCAAAGTAAGGGTAGATTGGGTCTCCGAAAACTTCACTCGATCGTTAAGAAAGAATTACTTAAGTCAGTATTCAAGGTTAACGAGACTCGGCCTGTTCCAGGTGGCGTCCATCCCGTTCCCGGCCCGCCAGCTGTGGTCGTCCGAGGCTGTGGCGCGGGCGAGACGCACTCAGCTCGAGTCGTTCCTGCGGCGCCTGCTCACCGTCGTGTCCGCTGACAAGCGCTGCCCATTCTACGACAAGCCGCTCACCAGAGACACGCTCGTCAGTTTCTCACCATTTTTTAGAAAGGTACCTTCTATTATTTTTCAATTACGTCTACAGAACAGTAGTACAGGGCTTATGACATAGGTATATGCAAAGTATTATGACGGGCTGATTGCTAAGCCGGTGGTCGTGGGTTTCCACCCAGGACAAATTTTGTGTGATGAGCACGGTCATTTGTTCTGTGTTTGGGTGTAATTTATCTATAATATGTATGTATTTAAGAATATATGTGTATCAGCAGTCTGGTTACCATAGTACAGGCTCTGCCTAGTTTGGGATCAGACGTCTAGCGTGTTCCGCGTTGCGATTGGTGGAGGTTTCAGTGCGAGCCGATCGTAACGCCACTCGGTCACGGTGACGGTCGAGTAGATATGATGACACAGCCCAAAGAATACCATATGTCGTGTGAGTGAGTGAGTATGCGTGTGGCCCCAGGGCGTGTTCGAGAGCGGCAAGTGCGGCACGGGATGATGTCAGCCGGAGCTCGCCACGTTGCGCGCGCTGGTGCAGTCGGGCGCGGCGCTGGTGCGGCTGCTGGCCGCCGCCGCCGCGCTGCTGTACCACTGCCTCGCGCTGCTGCTGCTGCTGCTCTACCTCTGCGCCACGCGCCGCAGGAGGTAGCACCCGAGCCACGCACGGTACCTACACACCTCTACACCTATACTCCTCTACACCTATACACCTATAGACCTCTACACCTATACACCTATACACCTCTACACCTATACTCCTCTACACCTATACACCTATAGACCTCTACACCTATACACCTATACACCTCTACACCTATACTCCTCTACACCTATACACCTATAGACCTCTACACCTATACACCTATACACCTCTACACCTATACTCCTCTACACCTATACACCTCTACACCTATACACCTCTACACCTCTACACCTATACACCTCTACACCTATACACCTCTACACCTATACACCTATACACCTCTACACCTATACACCTCTACACCTATACACCTCTACACCTATACACCTCTACACCTATACACCTCTACACCTATACACCTCTACACCTATACACCTCTACACCTATACACCTCTACACCTATACACCTATACACCTCTACACCTCTACACCTATACACCTCTACACCTATACACCTCTACACCTATACACCTATACACTTCTACACCTATACACCTATACACCTATACACCTATACACCTATACACCTCTACACTTCTACACTTCTACACCTATACACCTCTACACCTATACACCTCAACACCTCTACACCTATACACCTATACACCTCTACATCTATACACCTCTACACCTATACACCTTTACACCTATACACCTCTACACCTATACACCTCTACACCTATACACCTCTACACCTATACACCTCTACACCTATACACCTCTACACCTATACACCTCTACACCTATACACCTCTACACCTATACACCTCTACACCTATACACCTCTACTCGCTATAGTACTCGCCACTTATACAACTACCTACAGTATTTTGGTGATTGCGACACGTCAGAACATGGACATGCATGGATTTAAAAAGAATTGTTTTCGCTTTTATACACATACATTTTGTCTGTCCACTTAGTTAATGAACAATGTTAATTTAGTTAAAAAATGTATAATAATTTGGTATACCATTAACTCAGACGTTTTGTATATAGGTCAGCGACAAAATTGTATGAATCATTTCGTTGATTCATCATAGTTTTGATATATACATACATTATTTTTGAGGATATAAACTTACAGTATTATTTCTATTAGTTTATTATATTGCAAACATTTCATTCATATTTTGATACCAGTAAAATTTCTTAATTGTTCTCTTGACGACCGGATGGCGTAGTGGTTTGTGTAACAGACTGCTACTCCAAAGGTCGCGGGTTCGATTCCCGCTCAAGTCAAACATGTTGTGTGCATGAACTTTTAATGTTTGATTTCGTCTGGGTGTTTCTATGTATAATATGTATGTATTTAAAAGAAAAGTATATAAGTATTTATATCGGTTGTCTAGTAGCCATAGTACAAGCTCTGCTTAGTTTGGGACTAGATGGCGTTGTGTGAATGTGATAGAATATTATTTTAATTAATAACCATTCCAAAAATTTGACAAAATTGAATATATTTGACTAACATTAGCATGTCCATATTAATATAACTATTAACGACATTGATTAAAAACATGTCTACCTAATTTTTTCCAACCTAAGCAGAGCTTGTACTATGGGTACTAGACAACTGATATAAATACATATATACTTTTTTTTTGTAAATACATACATATTATACATAGAAACACCCAGACCAAATCAAACATCAAATGTTCATGCACACAAATGTTTGACCTGAGCGGGAATCGAACCCGCGACCTTTGGAATAGCAGTCCGTTACACAAACCACTACACCATCCAGCCGTCAAATAATAAATCAGATCATAGTTTATCATATCCTATCTTAAACAGCCGAGTTATCATAAACAATGTGCCTAATGTTGCCATTATCTCAAAAGGTTAAGACATCAAAACCTGCAGTGTGCCCAGCAGTGAGCAACGCGCCTTCGCGACGCGCAACCACGGGGTGCCTTTCTATATTGTTTATTGTACGTAGTTTAGGGGTGTCCTTGATGATTCTGTTTGACTTCTGTAAAGCAACTCGCATCGTAATAGGCCCTACACTAGAACTGTTCAACATTATTGGTGTTGAAGTATAAACAATTTATTTTGCATGTTCACACTATGTAACTTTGATATAGTCTCTGGTTTTTATGTTTTAACACAGATTACGGTTGACATGTTGACATTAATTAACTTGAAATCAGTGTATCAGTGAGTAATTCATTCAAATTACCTAAACAATTGGTACTATTGATAGTTCTAAATTCAAATCTGTTAAGCCATAGTCAAATATTAAAACCTCTAAACTCGAACCTTATAAACATTCGTCCATTGATACTCCGGGTAACATTGGCCTGGATTGGTAGTTAAAACAAATTGCATACCTGATTTCTCTTTACTTTGCAGAATGATAACGTATTCCTAATAAACCATTTTGTTCATACGCGGGAGTTGTCTTTTATTTAAACTTAGAAAGTCAATATTCATTATTAGAACAATATGATTCTTTATTTGAAAAAAAAAACAGTAAGTGCAGGGCATATTAAGATTTTATTCTAATTCTACGATGGTTAGTTTGCGAGAATGCCTTTTCAGTTTAATGTCATGTTGAGTTCGTGAATTTTGTCTGACTCACTTTTTCTTTGACTAGATACTCATAGTTTATATCTCTGTTCCATTTTTAAAAAGACAATGTTTGTATTCCTTACGTTTTAATCTATGGTTTTATTCTAATTTTGGATTATTGAAAATGTTCTCAAAGAAAACAATTACATTTGTTTGTCTTATATCGACAGCTCCAAGTGTTGCAAATAGATTAAAATTGTACGTTTGTCTTGAATAATGATAACAGCGCCATCTAGGCAATTAAAAGTTGTGACGATACTTGTTATCGTTTAAACAATAGATGGCGTACTTGTCTTTGGAGAACATTTTTGATGGTGACCGATATTATTTTCTCATTTGCATAAAATATTATTTGTGTATATTAGAAATGTTGTCTGTATATTGTGCAATGATTAGTTGTTAAGTACTTCATTTCCGTTTCCGTCATTAGAGGACATACCCTCTTTTTACGGTTAGAGACACTAGTGCCCCCTGGCGGGCTCGAGGCGCATGAATACAGTTTAGGCATAAAATGTCCTTGTATTTGTGAGCTTGTATCACTGATGGGAGTAGGGAACAATTTCGTCTCGTAATACAACCCTTGTAAATACTTCCGAACATGAAAATTGGTTATATTTATGGACTAGCGTTTGCCTGTGGCTCCGCCCGTGTGTAAATCGGTTACCGCGGTAAAAAGTAGCCTATGTTACTCGCTGATAATGAAGCTTTCCATTGGTAAAAGAATTTTTAAAATCGGATTAGTGGTTTAGGCGTAAAGGCGTAAGAAACAAACAAACTAACTTTCACATTTTTAATATAAGTATGGATGTGGAACATATTTTTTGTCACTTGCTTGCAATCTGTGGGATTCATTTCGGAATTTTATCCCAGAAATCATCATTTAAGGGGGTGAAAAGGGGGGTGGAAGTTTGTATAGGGAATCAATAAACACTGAACTGTAGTTTGGTTCTTGAAGAGAGACATAGGCCGCGGGCAAAACTAGTCGTTTATATTTTTTTTATATTTTCTTGTTCGAAACTATTTACAAGATATTATGGTCCGAAAAATAATTTCAGAAAAGCTAGTTATCATTGTATTAGACTGAAAGCTAATTAATAGTCTGGTAAAAAGCTAGAATTTATATCCAAATGATTAGTGTCTCTATACGTAAGACGAACCTGTAAAAAGCACCCAAATGTGTACAGTATATTTTTTCACGTGGCGAGTTCTAAAGTGATGATTCCCTTCGATAATTAGATAATATTAGTGTTAATAATCAAATTGTACTGAATGTATGGTTTATTTTTTAATTAACATAGTTTAGGTCCTAACATGCACAATTTTACTAACTTTCGACAAGTAGTTAAGGTTATTTCTTTAATTTAAGCCAAAAGTCTGGAGTTTAAATTTTTTAATTTATTGTTTTACAGTTCGTATCTAGTAAAGTGTTTAAAAAGTTACTATTTATATAAACTACTACAACTCTCTTAGTAGGGCAACAAGCACGTGTACGGTGCGTCATACACCACCCGCTCACTATAATATCTTAAGAATTTGCTAATCAATTAAAATAACTTAAAAAAGTACTCTCTTACACAGTGATAAGGCATAATATTTAGTGTGCGATCATTAGAAGTACATAATTTGGTATAAAATTTGATCTTCAAAATTTCTTATAAAAACAAAAACTTTTACAAGAAATTTGAAGTTTTTTTTTTTTTAAAGACAACTCCCGCATTAGGAATATATCTTTTGTCGCGGGGGACTTTACAAACAACACCCAGACTCAGAACAACAATTCATGGATCACACAAAGTGTCGTCCCATGTGGGGTTGGAACCCACAACACTCGGTGTAGTAGTGAGCGGCGTGGCGACCGCTTAAACTACTACGCCATCCGTGCAGTCAAGCTCAAACACATATGACGCACAAAAATATTAAATTAGGAGATAGAACTGATTGCTTGTATACAAATTCACTGGAAGACAATGTTCGCATGGTTTCTTAAACAATACATTGATAGATTTTTGAGAATAGGTCCATAATCCTTATACACTTTGTTCAGATCGTCCTGTATTCTGTCATTATTCATGATTCTTCATTAGTTGTACAGGCTTTTGGCTTAAATAAAAATTGCACACACGCGATACCAAGTACTAACTGTTAATATATTTAGGTTATGTACATCAATGTGATATTTTAACCATCGCATCTCTCTAACACTAGCTAAAGGACAATATAATAAAATACCGATATATATATATTTTAATATGTACCCTAGAAAATTTAAATGTTACAATTATTCTTCAGACTGTTTCAATTTTAAAATATAGCTTATAAATTATGGAGAAGAATGAAAGAAAATTTTAAAAGTAAAAGGCCTCTATTTAAAAGCGAAGGCCTAAGAAAAAAAATTGACTAGTACTTTTTGGTTCTGTAGTGCTTGCCAGGCGAGAATATTGAAATTGAAAATTTTTAAAAAATATCATTGATCTTTCGGATAAGGTTGGTCTTGGGTATGCTTAAAAATCCGAGATACCTTTGCCTGCAAATGTTTTAAAACCAAATTTACTTTTTTTAAGATTTTGACTTCAAAAGACATTTTAATTATTTACATAATAATATGTAGTTGGTTGTGATTCTATTTTGCATTGATTAATGTATGTTTTCTAATTATAGTTTGTTTGGAGGTTTCTTTTATCATAATTTTAGATGTGATTTTAAATATACCGAGTCGGCAAATTGAAACCGTTAGTCTAGAACAGCAGTTTAAGTATGTATATTGTCTGTCTTTGAAATACACATACTGTCAGCCGACTGAGCAGTCCGCTACCTAATACTTTAAGCTCTAATAAGCTTAGCTATAATAAGCTAAGCACTAATAAGCTTAGCTCCAATAAGCTAAGCACTAATAAGCTTAGCTCTAATAAGCTAAGCGCTAATTAGTCAATTACAGACCGTCGTTTAAACGCCTAACCCCTGATAAGAGAGTTTTTTTTTGTCGTTTGTGTAACACAAACATACATGAGCTTTCACTGTAGGTGTCTTTAGTAACTAATATGTCATTTTTAATCTATGTACTAAATACAGGGTTTTATCCTCTCACAAAGATGTTGTTTTAGTCTTCGATATGTTTTTAAAACATTTTCTTTTTGTTATTTTATTTCTAAATTAATGTTTGGTACTCTAATACTATGTAATCGATTTTTTTCCATAAGCTGACAATTCTTTTAGAAGTGTTTGTTTTCATATTTAAAGGTGCATTCATACTAGGTTCTTGATTACAAATTATACCAATATACTACCACTAATACACAAAATTTTATTTAGCAAGTATTGAATAATGTACAATTGTGTATTATATTTGAACATATTATAGGCAGAAAAGTATCGGAACCCTGATAAAAATTCGATAAATTCTTTATCTATAAAATATGTCAAATACAGGCCTGTTTTTCGAGTGGTAATTGCTAAGCTAACGAGGTGGATTCGATTCCCGACCAGGACAATGAATTGTGTGATTGTGCAACTCTTCTGTGTCTGTATGTAATTTATCTATGTATAATATGTATTTAGAAATACTTATACAAGTATATGTCTGGTTACCATACTACAATCTCTGCCTAATTCGGAATCATCGACTGTGAGATGGGTCAATTTATTATAAAAATAAATAATACCACTACAAAAATCAACACATTTTTATTATCAAATTAAAGAAATGTTTGAATGCATCCATAAATACAAAGAAAAACAGCTTAGAATATTTTTTTTATTCTCTATTTTAGTGTTATCAATATCTCACGAGTGTACAGCTTCTATGAGCTTTCAGCTTTTTACAGAAAGCCATAACGCATGCGTACTAGACGATCGTGAGCCCTTCGCCCCACCACCTACCCTCACTTGCATTAGATTTTCAATGTCTCAGTTTCATTCGTGATACAATAGCCTAATTACTGGCATAATTAATCATAATCTGACTTATAAATATTAATTATTATTGTAGGAAGTTTTTATTCCATATCTCATTGTTTAAATAAAAAAATGAATTCAGTTTTCATGTGAACAATAAAATTAGTTATGGTTTATTAAAAAAAATGTTATGTCTCTTTATTGAATATTCCTTAAGTTTATTTGTTCAATTTATTGTTTGTATTTTCGCTTTGATTTGTGTTGAAAAATATCGGGTTAACTGTTAAAACCCCGTAGACCGTATGGCCTTGTAGATAGATCCAAATAAATGTGTAATTTATATAATTTATACATAAGTAGTGTTACAATGTACCTAGATGTATGTAGTGCGTTATAAACAAAATATGTTTTAGTACAAATTATTATTGTTTCGCGACAAGACAAAGCAGCTCCGCAACCATTGTTAACTAAACGCATTCTTGTCTCTAAAAAAAACAAGAATGCGTTTTGTTCACAGAGCTACTTATCACATAAAATGTGTTTATTTAAAAAAAAATGAATTAACTACAATTTTCCATTTTGTCGTTTGACAAATGTATTTGTTAATGTTTAATTGAATAACAAAGTAATTTACTATTCTCGTTTAAATTTAAACAATAGGTATTAAACACCAAAACAGCTTTTTTTTTCATAAAAGTTACAGTGAAAATGTATAAATCAATTATTTATTTAATAGTGATAAGTGAAGAATTTATTATTTTTTAATAAATGAAGAGTGTCCATTAATATTTACAAATGTCACCAATGTATAAGGCCTCTTAGCTAACTAAACAAAATTGTGCGCTTCGTCGATGTTAATAGGCTTCCTAAGAACTTGACACAAAGTTAAGCTGTACTTTATTGCAATATACCACGTTCATAATATCTCCTGTCTTGACAAGACTGTGCATGTTGATGCAAGGCTTGGCCAGATATGAAATGCCGGACTCTTGCAGCCAAGTTATATCTATTCACATCGATGAGACATGTCTCGAGTAAACGCTGTTTTATTCAATTTTCGACTAAAATGAATATGCAACTATTGTTATTATATTAAAATTAATATGATGACCTATTATTTTTTGATACTGTATTAAACATAGTAAATGATTGGACCTCAGAGAGGTATGACGTCACACCTTAGTAAATAAAAAGAAACCGATTTGACTTGACAGTCATCTGGCCCATTGCGATATCGGCATAATTGCCATATATAAAAAATCAAGAATTACCTTTTTCTTGACACCATTCTTGACTAGCAGTGAGTCATCATATTTATAAATTTATCGTATTGTTGGATATGTGCGTATTTTAATGTTAGCAGTTTTAAATGCGAATTATCATATTGAGAGAAATTAAATGGAATGTTAACCAGCATAATGTAATGTAACAAATAATATAGTTTTGTTAAGGATGAACAATAAAACGATGAAATGTTTTTAATTGTTGTTTAATTTTTATTTGTATCCTAACAATGTATAAAGAATGAGGTTTTGTACACTGCTTTTCAGTTATACGACAGAAACTAGTTAAAACTCCCCAAGCTTTCAAAATACCTGCAACCCTTTTTCAGTATCTTTAATTTTTATTAAAAGAGAAAAAAGAAAAGATTATCCTTAGATTATAGTCCCCTGCACTAAGTTAATAGTGTTTAAAATAACATTTCTGAGTCGAGCCGAGAGTGGAAACCATTGAATCTTTAAAGCTCTAAGGCTTGCGTGTTATAAAAACTAAATAGCCCTAAAAAGAAGATTTAGAAGGTTGTGCTTCTTTTGTTTAGTTTTAAATTTCATTTCTAACGTTTCTATTATGAGCCTTGGAGGTGGCCTTGGAGGCAAAACCAGAATGAACTTCAGAACTGAATGCTTCAAAATGAACGAGAGATTAAACCCTTAACCTGTAACGCTATAAAATCAAGTCTTTTATTAGGCGATTCGGAAACAATGAATCAAGAGTCTTGCAATAAAAGTTGGAACCCTATATTAGTGTTCATATAATATAATTAAAATAAATGCATCGACATACTTATACAGTTAATGCCCTTGTAAATCTCTGTAGGTTTATTTACTTTCACGAAGTTGTAACATAATAAATTTTGGTTTGTTTTAGTGTAGCATACCCTAGAATATTATAGGTGTTATTACCACTTTACACAAAAATTAATTATCAACTAAGAATGTCGTCTAATTCAAAATTAGCGTAACATGAAAACTCATTCGCCAAGTTATTTCTATGACGGGGTTGGAATTTACATATCTTCAAATTCAACAGCTCCTCTACGTTCTCTCTCATGATGCTGCCAGTACATATAACTATTTTGTCTTTAGCTAGAAGTTTGATGGTCTCCGAAGTTTTGGTGATGCATTCCTCAGAGAGGAAAGGAGGGTCAGCTACCACCAGATCGTAAGAGTTGAAGATCTCCGGAGGGAGTTTCTGTGGAGTGTTGTAGTCGTAGAATATGAAGTCTGGCGCGTGCACTTCAAACCGACGGTCGTATTCCAGTAAAGTTACTGAAAAGATAAATATTATAAAATATTTAAAAAAAATCTGTTCGGTTGTTGTGTTTCTGTTCCACGCGGTCTTAAGGGTGATCCTTCAGTTTTGATTCACAGCTGTGATTAGCTTGATTTTGTCCGTGTCTGAGTTTTATGTTTTTATTTATATACCGTCCGTGTGGTGACGGATTAAGAATAAAGTGTCACCACCTCTATTCATCCCGTGGGTGTCGTAAGAGCCGACTAAGGGAGAAAACTACGCAGAACAACAGCACTGCAGAGAGAAGGAAAACTTGACACAAACCCTATACCAACCCGTCTGGCCAGCGTGGTATAGTAGGCCAAAACCTCCTTTCTAAGGAGAGGCCTATGTCCAGCAATGGACTATTGAAGGCTGTTGATGTGATGTGATTTATATACTTACATTTTTCTCAATATATAACTTCATTTAGTAAAATGGAAGCATATCTTTAGCAATCTGGTTACCATAGTACAGACTCTACCTAAACGCCCTGTGAGATTTGTAAAATTGTTGTTATTAATAATCTACTAAATCACCGTGACCAAAACCTCCTTTCTAAGGAGAGGCTTATGTCCAGCAGTGGACTATTAAAGGCTGTTGATGATGATGACCAAAAACATCTTAGAAACTTCAACTAGTAAACAAACCAACCTGAAGCTCTATCACCAAGTTGTCTCTTGACTGGCACAAATAAAGTCGGGCAAGATATAAGAGCCACACGGCCGCCATCTTGAATAGTTCTGTCCACCACTTTCACCAGGGACTGTACTGTCGCTTCGTCATACCAAAACTGACTCAGTTGCTGCAAGTAAAAAGTAGGTATAGACAGTTCAACTCAGTTGTGCGCGCATTCGGCAGTGACGCGGCAGTCGGACGACGACTGCCACACGAATGAAAGTTGTATATTTACAAGCCCACGCACACATAGGGCCGCGCGCACAACTGAGTTGAACTATCTATATATGTATGTGTAAGTGAACTGATGCTATGGCCTCACACAAAACCGGTGTGAAGATATTTTTTCATGCTTGAGTGGGGATACCATTGCCCATAAGCCCCGTTCGGCCGCTATCGAAACCGATGATTCGTAACCTGTTAACCTGTCTGTACGAAACCAGTTTCGAACCAGGACAGTTTTTTCTTGTTACGAAACCACGGTTACGTATGAGGAATTTATTTTTAATAGCTTCGTTTTTTAATAGATTCTTTGTATCTAATCACTTTCAAGGGGAAAATATAAAAGACATATGTTATTAGACATTTGACACAAATAAATAATTATAACTGGTCAGTATTTCATGAGTTTGTAAACCTAGGTCCAATAATTCGAAGCAATATTTCCTCCCTTGCATGTATACGTCTTCGTAACTAGGTTTCGTAAAAGTCGGTTAAAAAGAACAAATAATCCAGGTTCGAAACTGGTATCGTACAAGATCATTTTTTCCTCCTCCTTAACTGGTTACAAATCATCGCTTTCGATGGCGGCCGAAAGCCAAAAGCCTACATGCTCCTGATACTGGGGTGCCTTATAGAGTGGTAAAACACTCACACTCAGTAACTCTCAAGACTACCAATAGCCTAAGTTCCTCCTTGTATAGACAGCTACCTGGTAAAAATATTATCAAAATCGGTATAGCCGTTTTGAAGAATACCCAGAACAGACACAGACAGACAAAGAAAAAATTAAACTGGATTTTGGATATAGGTATCATGCAAATGTAAGCATGAAAATAACCTATTATTTTGACATTACAAACAGACTTCAATTTTATTTATTTATTTGAATTATATCCCTATGTATGCTCTCAGAGATAACTGCTAATTAGTTAGTGCCAGTTTATGTTCTAAGAAGTTACCTACCCAGTTCTCATCAAACAATATATTCTCTTTCAATTTGTCATCAGCCTCCAATTTGTTGAGTATCTCCTGGCGCTTCTGTTGTTCTAAATAGAACTCTTGGAGTGCAGCAAAAGTCTCCGCTGAGAGTGAAGGAACATCATCATCCTCCATGATATAATACTACAATTAAATTAATAAAGTGTTTAGCAATATCAAGTAGGTAGGATGTTTGATTGAATTTTGCATTATACCCTAATTATGTAAGTAAATAGTGTTATAAATAATTAAAAAAGCTTACATTTGTCTTAAATAACAAGCAGTTACATATAGACAATCTTCTTTATTAACTTTGGTATACAAAAACCAGTGAACACATGTATGCTCCTCTTAAATTTTGAGATTCTATTTTTAAATTCAAACAAATACTTTTTTGCATTAACTACCAACTATCTTGTATTATTGTAGTCATTTCATAACACATTACAGGTGCTTAACCGCATAATTTGCATCATAAATGCGATTTTATGAGATACATGATTTACATGCCATTCTCTCTGCAAGAAATTATCATTTTCTAAGATTTTAAATGTCGTAACATGTTATATCATACACAAAAGCGACTAGAAACGTATTACGAGCTGCTTTTTAAATGTGACAGCTAAAAATAGGTTAGTTTGTGGCTGTACTCGAAGCGCACAATATGTTTCGAAATATGGCGGGAGAAAAATGAAATACTATGTGCCAAAATAAAGAAAAGCTTTAGAAATGGACATATTTTGACTCGTAAGTGACATTGGCTGCTCTGTTATTATTTACGACTCAATTTTCGTTGTGTATTATATAAAAAAACAGTATTACTAACCTTACCAAAATTTGTTTTGTAATATTTTTGACAGATGTAGGGTGACACTACTAAAAATAAAATAACTACTATGTACGCTTACCCTTTTCCGTAATTAATAATCAGATTGTAATTTTCAGTAATCAAAAATGGAACCAGAAAGCCTGAAAGTATTACGACTACACGAACACCCACAGTATTTAAGGCCATGTTGTGAATTAATAAATGATGAATGGCCGCGTAGCGAAACGGCTAGAATGATATCTCTGCAAGCCTCCTGTAACCACCTACCTACCAGTCTAATACTAATTAACGATAAGGAATATCTCTTGGGGCATTGCAAATTAACTGCTATACCAAGTATACCTGAGAGCTGTTTTATAGAAACAGTAGTTATTAAAAAGTCAATGCGCGGTAGAAAACTAGGAAGTCACTTGATGAAACAAGTAGAAAAATACTGTAAAAACGTACTGCAGTTGAAAATGCTACATTTATCTACCAAAGGACAAGAAAATTTCTATGCCAAATTGGGATACGAAATTTGCGCGCCAATATCAATTTATGGAACCCATTTTGGGAATAATGGATCGACACCAGTATCCAATAACATTCAAAACGGAGTGTCACTGAATAGCAACCCTACAGGAAATCAGCTACACCCGTCGTTACCGCCCCCACCCCCACCGATGCCTAAACTGAATAGTTTGGTACCTAATTATTCCATCAAATCAACGAAAACATTTATGTTTAAGTATTTGTAAATTATGTATTGAACATAATGTTGTACTAAGAAATATTTGTTTTAAAGTTTGTCTACTGTTGTTTGTACATATAATAAGTTTTGTATTAAAACGTAAGATATAATTTAGCTGAGTGCTGTGTTATTCCGGGTTGTACTTGTCAATAAGAGAAGGTGAGTTCGGCGAAAATCGATTTGGGAGCAAACTTTAATGTGATGTTGACTGAACTCTTCTAGAGCAAAAGTTTATTAAAACTTTACCGATTAATATTTATGCTCCACGTTAGAAATAATTATAAAAATTGGATTAAAAACACAGTTATAATTGAAAATTTATTTATTTTTATAAATTACTTTAAAACTTAGCCTTTTCTATGTACTTCATAGCTTGCTGTTTTATTTTTTCTACTTGATTTTGCTCTCCAAGTTTTTCCTCCACTTCCATCCATTTTTTGTACAGTATTTTCATTTTCCTTGCTGGCAACTTTTGTGAAGTCATTCGCTCCATAACTTGCCTGTAAAAAATGATATTATATTCATTACTTATAACATTTTCTGTACAAGAAAGATCAATTAGTACACGCTTTATTCAGCTACTGAACAAACTTTGTTTGTTTCACTGAACTGAAATGTTAATAAAACACGATCTTAATCGCGATTTCTATTATTCTTACCTGACATGATCAAAGTCTCCGTTTTTGATCAGCATGTCGATGTACGATGAACAAACGTCCACCCTCTGCGGGTACACCGCCAGTATTTGCTCAAATAAGGCCTCCGCACGCTCTCGAGCACCATGCGTCCGTTCTAACAGTGCGAACTGGACCAGCACTGTAACATCTGTTGAGATAAAACAAGTCTCAGTTAATAGCCGTTTGAGGCAGAATTTATTTAACTAACTAACTCAATACCAAAGGGGTTGATTGCTTTAAATGCTTTTGATATGAAATATGCAGTGATTTCTGATCAATGCTTTTAACTTACTTTGTACGTACTTTTTTATATAGAATGATAGTATTGTTCTAAATCTTAAACTAGTAGCTTGATGGAAATAAATTTATACAGAGCGAAAGTAAGTTGGTATTTTCGTACCTACGTGGCTACGGCTGCAATATGACGATAAGTTGTATCATTTATTTTTTAAAGGTAAGTCTTTTGGGTTGAAATATAGGCATCAAAAAATATTAATTTATATAGATAAAAAGAAAGTCCATAATCACATAAAAGTAAAATATGTTATCAATAAGTCAGTAATCAGTGAGTAAATCTGACAGTAAATTTATAACATACGACAGAAAAATACGAAAAATGATTTTCATTTATAATTCAAGACAAGGATAAATTATTATCACAGCGAAAAAGCATATATATTAGATTGCAATTACCACACCCTTACCATCAAGACTGTCTCGACAATTTATTAGCGTTTTATTACTGACTAGCTGACCCGCGCAACTTCGTCTGCGTCTCTCAATAGTAATAAATTTTCTCCGTTTTTGAAACATTCTTCATTGGTGCTCCGCTCCTATTGGTCTTAGCGTGATGATATATAGCCTATAGCCTTCCTCGATAAATGGGCTATCTAACATTGAAAGAATTTTTCAAATCGGACCAGTAGTTCCTGAGATTAGCGCGTTCAAACAAACAAACAAACTCTTCAGCTTTATAATATTAGTATAGATAAACAAGTGATAAAAAATTAATTTAAAAATTATTTAATAAAATTTTATCTTGTTACTTACGTTCTTTCTTTTCTAAGACAGCAATCGCTTTCTGCATTACCTGCATACAAATAAATAAAACTTTAATACTATTTGGTAAAATTAGATTCTTTAAATAATATATGAATTTGATACGGTGTTACTGAATTTGTATCAATTGCAGTCGTTGGATTACAACTATAGAACATGAAAGTTTTTCCTAGCCCTGCAATTAAGTATATGATAATAATAATAATTTATTTTAGAAAACTGGTTCCATAGACCACAAATTTAATTTATATTTAAATAAAATTGCTAATGTTGTTTATAGAGAAAGGACACCGACAGCTTTGTATGGGACTTGGGCCAAGGGGTGGACATTTTTATATTGAAATAAAAACGTTACTAGGTAGTAGCTGAAGCTATGTAGGAACCAATAATATAATTAATTTAGTATCCAGGCCTATAAAAAAAAGCTTTGATTTTTGCAAACATTTAATTTCAATTGTCGTCACCATCACTTTCATACACAATCAAAATATTATCCAGAAACTAAGCTGGAGGAGTAACATTCTCATACCTTGCCCAACTTAGATACCAGATTACGGACATAATTTGAGAGCAACAACCCACAGTTCTTCGACCAACAATGCAGTTACAGTAATACTCTTTAATTGCATTTAAATTCTCTATATTACTGTCAAATAATATATTAATAAAATATGTTTTCCTACTTATGTGTCTGCTTTGTATTTTTGCCCTTAATAATGTGCAATTGTCGGCTGAAGGTAGACTTGGCAAAATGTTGCTGGATCTTTCTATACAAACTTCGACTGTATATGAACCATCACTTCTTATGTGTTCTCCAAAATATGATCTAGCCTGTTTTATTTGATATGTTCCACATGCTAACATATGTTGTCGTGAGAAGAATTATTTAAATGAATTTTGAATAGAATATCCAAAAATAAACAAATAACAAATAGTAATACCGTGCGCGCCTAAGCCAATGCCAGACATGACATTAGTCAAATGTTGTTAGAGTAAGAAAAAAATATACCCATTTGCTGTTTAATATTCTTCATCACAATTTATTTTTAGACATATATTTTGTCTTAAATGGAGATATATATATATAGAAAATAGAAATAATTATATCTTGTAGGTATTACAGACTTCAAAGTACTTTAAGTGAGACTATTATTTATTAGTGTGTTTTTTGAATTACTTTTTCCACTACTTATTTTTTGTATGCAACACTTACGACACATTTCGCTCACAAAATGAACGGATGTACGTCATAAATATTGATAAATATTTTGAAATACTTTTTTTATATATCTTTACTTGATACTACCAAATTGTACTCATAATTATTTTATAATAAAAGAAAATTATGACCATTTTCATTTATTTATAAAACTGCTGTCCGCACCTTGGCCCAAATCGGTCAGCCTCCTTTATTTATTAAGTTAACTTTTACTTTTTAAATGCTATAAATCAACTCTTAGAACGACATGCAACCGTCATTTAAAAAAGCCATACCATATCCATTTTCAACAACACATTCGTTGATAACAAAATAAAAATTACTAATAATACTTCAGCAATAAGCTTACCTGCCGAGCTTTGTCGACTAATCCGAGTTTAAAACATGCAGCTCCGCACATAATGTAGGTATTCGGATCCCGCTTATACTTCCTCATCATGAGATCCACCAACGCAACTAACTCCTGATGCTTACTGGTCTCCACATAAATATCGAGAAGCTTGGAGTGGACCTTAAACGGCTCATTTATTTGCAAAGATTCTTCTAATATTTTCTGCTGTGATTCCTGTTAGTGGTAGAATAATAAATATTAAAACTGCAATTTTGGTAGAAATATAAAGGCTTGTAACATTGAAAGTTTATGAGGTGTTATCTTTGTAAAACTAACTAATGCCGAAATGGACGCCGTGGAAACTATTGCTATTTACATCACACATCAACGGACTTTAATAGTCTACTGCTGGACATGGCCTCTCCTTAGAAAGGAGGTTTTGGCCTACTATACCATGGCGACCTGATGAGTTGGTGGTTGTTGGTTGGTGGTGGTACGACGACCATGATGGATGCTATTCATCCATCATGGTCGTCGGGTGGTGACACTCCGTATTCATAATCCGTTACTACATGGGCCCCAATGACATTACTTCTGAATTAATCAAAAAAATACATGGTAAACATAGAATGTTGTGAAAATTATGATTTTATTTACAAAACTAATTATTTTAAAATTAGTCGAACCGACTGGGTTTTGAGGAATCTTCATTATCCATAAGATAAGACCGACTGGTGACGGCAGACTAGTTTATGTTAGGCTTTGAAATAGGAATATAAACGTTTTTATGTGAAGACTATTTGTTCATATGTTACGCTTTAACACCTTACCACTAAACCGATCTATATGAAACTTTGCATATTGTTAAGGGTTCAGAAAAGGACAGAGTACCTAGTAGAGAGATAAAAGTATTGTTCCCGAGTAATACCCGTCTTAATTGACAAGATCTGGATTCTTTGGAATCCAGATTTTGTCTATTACTGGATTTTGTTTTTTTGGAATTAGATTATAAATTATATATGTATATATATATGGAATTTCTAGAAAACGGGGAGGAAAGAATAGTACTGACTAAGGTCGCTAATCTGATAATATTTAAATGTATTTTATCGTTTGGTTATCTGTATAATTCTTATCTAATCGCAAAGGTACATAATAATAAGTCGATTGTGGTGTGGTGCAGTGGTGCTCGAAGCTCATTCCTTTTTAAGCCTGTATTTGATTGAATAAGTAAGTGGTTTTTAATTGTTTTTATTAAATTCACAATAATGAACTATGTTGTTACACAGACAGAACAAAGGCGTCAAATTATATATATATATAACTTTTTATATATATATCTATATAACTAGCTGACCCGCGCAACTTCGTCTGCGTCTCTCAATAGTAATAAATTTTCTTCGTTCACATTCTTCATTGGTGCTCCGCTCCTATTGGTCTTAGCGTGATGATATATAGCCTATAGCCTTCCTCGATAAATGGGCTATCTAACACTGAAAGAATTTTTCAAATCGGACCAGTAGTTCCTGAGATTAGCGCGTTCAAACAAACAAACAAACTCTTCAGCTTTATAATATTAGTATAGATTTGACGCCTTTGTTTAATAAATTGTAGTTCGTACTTTTATTTTAGGTTATCTCTATTCCCTCTTTGTTACAATATCGAAATTGTGTATTAAAATTCATTGGCGTATGTCTAAAAAGTGTGCAGACAATAATTTATATCATATGATATTCCAATATAATCTTGCAATTGTTCTTCATGTGATTATTAAATAATGATAATAGTTTTCGCGCCATTACAAGTAGACGCCATTTTTAGTTTGAAACAAGGCGGGGTCCGATTTGGTTTAAGTCGACACTTATTTGACTTAAAAATATTTTTTTGGTTTCAGTTTAATCTTTGTCGCATTGTATAGTATTATAAATTATTATATGTATAGTGTTCATGACATGTGATTATTAAATAATGATAATAGTTTTCGCGCCATTACAAGTAGACGTCATTATTATTTTTAAACATGGCGGCGTCAGATTTTATTCAATTCGACACTTATTTGACTTAAATATAATTTGTTGGCTTCAGTTTAAACTTAGTCGCCTTGTATAGTATTATAATATACTATTAATAATTATTATATGTATAGTGTTCATGTGATTATTAAATAATGATAATAGTTTTTGCGTCATTACATGTAGACGCCATTATTAGTTTTAAACATGGCGGGGTCAGATTTCATTCAAGTCGACACTTATTTGACTTAAATATAATTTGTTGGTTTCAGTTTAATCTTTGTCATCTTGTATAGTATTATAATATACTATTAAGAATTATTATATGTATAGTGTTCACCTCAGAAAGAATGTTTGTGTTTTTAAAGACTACATTTTATTGTTTGTGTATATAAATTATTAGCTTAAAAATGCACGTTTTACAATATATAATTAGGGAGAAGGGGAGGTTGTCTCTATGGTTATTGATTCGATTTTAAGAAAATATTTAACCAAAACATCGATTAAGCTTTTAGTTCTCCTAATATATTAATCTTAAGAGAGTTAAAAAATATCTTCATACATCACAAAATTAAATAAAACTATTTCATCTCACAAGTAGATTATAATTAGTAAGAACATTGAATTAGCCGTTCACACAACCATGTTAATTAGTATAAAATTATAAAAATTTACACAAACAATGATAATATTTGCAGTATACAGGATTAAAACGGAATAAGGTTTTACGGTGCAGTGAGCGCGCAAATTTGCCGCGTGTAATAGACCTTTTTTTTAAAAGTGATATTATTATCATTAAAAAAAAAATTATACGTTTGTTGGTAATGCATAATCTAAGAAAACCACCTATTTTTTTTCATAATTAGCGAGTAATAAAGGCTGGTTACGTCACAATAATTGATTTTTGTCAAATTAGTCAAACAAAATAGGAGTAGGTATGATCGAAAATCAATACATTAAATTTTATATCAGTTTTAGTATTTTACGTACGTACATGAAAAATACAAAATACTCAAATCCTAATGGAAATAATTGCAGTTTGTGAAGATTTCACAGTCCCCTGACACGTCATGCCTTAAAAAAAATTTACTTATAATGTTTCAGATCTCACCTTGGTTCCGAATCTGTTCTCGAAGTTGATCATGGCGAGACAGACGTTCAGCTTTTCTTCTTCTTCTCTGAATAAGATCGAGCTCAGCGCTTTACGGCCCACGGCGCGAGCCTTTTCCAGCTCCGTAGCCTGCGGCAGTGGTAGGAAACAGATTGATTATTATTCAAATTTTGGTGATTACTTGTTTGCATGTCAAATGTTTAAATCGGCTTAGTCTTGATGGCTGATCTGTACATCGCACGAACGGATCAAATCTAACCGTGACTACTACTGGTGCAATTCGGTCGAGATTTATGTTAAACTAACAAGTATCTTAAATATATATTTTACTGTTCAAGCCCTAACCACGTTCATTTCACACTTTGACCAACATCCTCTGGGTAAGTCTTAACTAAGATTACCTAGTAAGGATAAACTGAGGTAAAAGAGAGTAACAGAGAAGGTGAAACTGGTTTTGGATGAGGAAATAGGGTGAAGATTGAAAATATGTATGTAGTCGGTCTGTGATTTAAAAAGCAATTAGGGCAGGAACATAAATAAACTGGCCATCATTGACAAGCTCTTTGGTCGTGGGTTCGATTCCCACTCAGGACAAATATTGTGTCATAAGCATTTTTTTATGAAAGAGGGGGCAAACGAGCACACGGTTCACATGATGGAAAGTGACTACCACCGCCCATGAACGCCTGCAAGTCAGGAGCCACAAACGCGTTGAAAGCCTTTTAGGAAGAAGTACGCTCTTTTCTCGAAGGTTTGAAGGTCGTATCAGCCCGTATTTGGATAATCATTTATTCTGGGTAGTAATTTGTCTATAATATGCATGTATTTAGTAATATATAAGTATGTTTATCAGCAGTCTGGTTATCACAATGTAGGCAGCCTAGTTTGTAATCAGATGGCAGTGTGTAAATTGTGTCAGGATATTTATTTATCAAGTAATCTACTTAAACATAACTAGTTTTAATATTTAAAAAAGACGCTGACCTGTAGGTGGAAGGCCATATAAGCAATCCATAGTTGGCTGCAGTTAGGATTGGCGAGGAGCGCCCGTTCGAACTGTTCGCTAGAACGCGGCTGCGACTCGCTCTCAATCGCCCTCCTCTCCATTTCTCTCACTCTCTCTTCTTCTTCTCTCACTTTAGCCAGCTTCTCAGCTACTGTTAGTTTCTTCCGTTTCTTTTTTGGTTGTTCTGTTTCCTACAAAATATAATTTAAGTTTCCATTTATTTCTCAGCTATTAAATAACATTGTTTTTTATGTGTAATCTAAATATAAAAAATATCTTTCGTCGCGCAGGACAACAGCACTGCAAAGAGAAAGATAACTTGACACAAACCCTTTTTTTTTTTTTTTTAACGTGTGGAAATCCCCTCGGACCGTCACCCCTCCGGGTTTGCGGCGGGGTGGTGTGTCGGACTCGGACCGACTAAAACCACACGGTGTGCCACTCTGCGCCTGTAACAGGAGGGATCCGGGAACAGCTGTTATTAAGACATCCGGACCCCTCCTAGCGCCAGCCCGCTCCTGGTGCGGGCTCCGTCTCAAAATTTTTTTTTTCCTCTCTTTAGGCGACGTCCGGCACACGCGGACGCCGCCCCCTCGCGGCTGGCCAAACTAATGCGGGTGGAAAGGAAACCCACCCCGTCCACCCGCGGCCACACTCAGGGCGGCAACTTGACACAAACCCTATACCAACCCGTATGGCCAGCAAGGTATAGTAGGCCAAAAGCTCCTTTCTAAGGAGAGGTCCATGGCCAGCAGTAGACTATTATTGACTATTGATGTTGATGATGATTTGTAAAAAATATATGTACGTACCTCATCTTCACTGCTGCTAGAATCTTCTTCTGGAACATTCTTCGTATTACTCTCACCTACAGACCAGAAATCTTTAATACTGGCCACTTCCAGAGCTGGTTCTAAGTTCTCAACTACTTTTATATCCACCTTCTTAAGTAAAGTTTTATTTTCTGTTTCTTTCTTTCCCACTTTAGATGATTCTACTTCACTATTTTCTTTTTTATTTTCTTTCTGTTTCTTTTTATACTCTACTTTATCAACAATATCAAATTCTTTCAGTTTCTCTTGAGCTACATTTAATGCATCAAATAATTTTTGAATTCTTTCTTTTAAAACATTTTTTTCATTGTGCATGGCTGTGTGAAATTTTTTATTTTCCATTGTCAATCCTTTTTCTTCTAACCTAGATAGTTTTGTATCTATCTTGTCTATTCTCCTTGTTCTATTCTTTATTGATTTAAGTAATGAAACTACTCGTTTTTTAAATTGTTTTGCTGTGGTACAGTCTGATAAATCTATGAGGCCTAACTCTTGCGGACTTAATACTTGGTCACTGTCTTCATAAATGTCAGTTTCTATCGCATCACTCTCTTCTGATATTCTAGTTTCTTCCTTATCTTTGCGTTTCTTCTTCTGTTTATTCTTTTTTGTTACTTCTATATCTGTTTCTGTTGTAGATTCTTCCATATCTACAGACTCTTGTTTGCGTTTTTTATTTTTATTTTCTTTTTTGGTTGTATCTTTACATTCGTTTTCAATTTCCGTTTTCAATTTTTTCTTTTTCTTATTCACATTTTCTTCTTCAACCTCATCATCTGTGGTTGCTGGTTGTGATTCTGCTTTCTTTGTTTTTTTCTTTTTGGGCTTACCAATATCTTCGACAACTGTCTCAGTTTGTAGCACATTTTTCTTTCCTTTTTTCTGTTTCATTTCAATTTCTTCCACTTCGTCATCTGTTGAATCAGCCTGTGGTTCTTGTTTCTTTATTTTTTTCTGTATCTGTTTATTTTCTATTTCCTCACTAGCCAGCTCTTTTTGTGTTACTTGCTTCTTGCCTTTTATCTGTGTTTTTTGATTTTCTTCAGCCAGTTTAAGTTTTTTATTGGGCACTTCTTCAGTAGATGTTTGCTTACGTTTCGCAGGAGATTCTCGCTTTTTCTACAAAACATGTACATTGAGATATTAGAAATCGCGAACGACGAAAGTGGTTTTTATTTTATAGGAATATGATACATTTTACATTCTTGTTGGCAATCCATACTTACAGGTGAAAAAGGTGTAGTGGTAAGACTGCCCGTCATCCTCTGAGTTGATGGATCCACTTTCAATATTGTGCAGTTTACCTAAAAAAATAATATACATATTTGATTCAAATTTAATTTGATGCTGCATAATCAAAGCTGCTGCTTAATTACAAATATATACTTACAATCTGTCCTATATGGAATGCGTCTGCGATGTTGTCGAGGGGCTCCTTGGTCACACAGGCTCTCGGCACGAAGGCTGTCACGTTGTTGAAGAACGAAACCACCACAAAGTCACGAATCGTCTGCGTAAAATTGCATAATCATAAATTAAATTGAAATATGTGACACCTTCTACTTCCAACAAAATTATACTACAATACCATCTAACGTAGACATACTGAACTACGGAATAACTAGTACTATCCTGGATCGCACAATAACAATTCTCGCGCATTCAAAATTTCCGTACATCAACAGAGGGTGCAGCAGGTCAGGCATGGTCACCTGTACCGGTTGACGGATCCTCCTCTTGTATTGGACGAACGTTGCGCCCTGTTCTACGTAGTTTTTATTTTTAAAAATATTTGAAAAATAAAAAATCTAAATTAATATTACGAAATATAGATTTACCTTAATAACTCCGGTATACCCCTTTCCAACCACAACCTGTTTGTAACTGCTCAGAATTTCAAGATCTGGAGCTAGGAGCGAGGGTTTAAGGGTCAGGAATAGGGTTTGCTTGACCGGGTCTACAACTAATACACGTGCGGTGACAGCTTGACCAACCTGGTGAAAATAATTAGTACATAATGTATAGTGTCTAAACAACTCTTAAGTTTTGTTTTCGTTTACGGGGTGGACGACGGTCAAGGCCGTCAGGATTTTATTAGAAATGTTTGGGGTGGGTTTGGTACATTACAGCATCAGCGAATACCTGAACCTGACAAAAACGACTGTAGTTGAACAAAATCGCAACTAATAAATTAGGTACATAAATAACTAAAGTATTATTATTATTAATTTGAATTATCTCTTCCTCTGTCATCTATTGCTGTGCCCGACATGGTCCATGAGATCTGATCTCGCATTTATAAGTTTGAATATTGAGTATGTTACACTAACATTTTTTTCATTTATTTATTTAATATCCACACTACATTAAACTACATTTATTTAGTGGACACAACATATAATATATTATGATGACTTTGTGATATCATTTACTTTAATATTATTTTCACAATTAGCATGTTTTTTTAAATATCAAAGTAAAATAGCACGAGAACCTAACTTTAATTACATAATTCTAACCAATTTTAATTATATAATAGACCAACTTGTACAAATAATTTATTAGACAACGTGTTGACACCCACATAGCTCAAAACCAATCAGCGTCATCTAGCGAGGATAGAGTAAGACTGTTAAATAGTGATACTGTATCGCGCAATTAAAGTTATCACCTTGTAAACATTCAAATACCATAAGTGGACGTTGGATCGCAACTTGCCAAATTCACCTAGCCTGATTCAGTGAGAACGCCCAGAATGAAATGCTCAAAACATACTAGGATAAAAAATATAAGTTCGTTTCAAACAAATCTTACCTTGAATTTCTTCTTGGGCAGTTTGGAGTTGGAAGATCTTTTGGGATCGATAAAAATTCCTGAATCAGACAGGTGCGCTTGCGACACGTAACCTGAAGAAAGAAGAAAATAGTTTTCATTCTAGACAGGAAAGCATAAGCATTTTATCAATATGTACTTAATTTAATTTAAATAAAGAAATAAACACAATTCTGGGTCATACTGTTATGATTGGCCAGTTAGTGAAGAGACTATCTAGTTTGGGATGAGACGGCCGAGTGTGTGATGTCACATTATTATTATTATTATTATTAAACTATCCGTGTGATGACGGATCAAGAATATGGAGTGTCACCACCCCTATTCATCCACTGGGTGTCTTAGAGACAACTAAGGGAGCAAACTACAAAAACAGGACAACAGCATTGCAAAGAGAAGGAAAACTTGACACAACCAGCGTGGTATAGTAAACCAAAACCTTCTAATAAGAGACCTATGTTCAGCAGTGGACTATTTAATTGTCCACGGCTGGACATAGGCTTGATTTGATGATGATTATTATTATTTCTAATGCAGGGGTAGACAGTCTTCAAAAGAATTAGCTTTACCTGATACTCTGCCAACATTTAATAAGACATGGTTCTCAGAGACAGTTTTGACGGTAGCGTCGACCAACTCGCCGACCTTCAGCTGCGCGTGGTTGAAATACTTCTCGGCGACCAGGTCTGGTTGGTCGGAGACAGAGTACACGTAGTCCGAATAGTTGTAGCAAAGTATTCGTACTTTATGGGTACTACCTGTTGGCAAAAAGTAATTTTTTATAAGTATAGTTTTGTGGCTGTGGTGCCTCCCTGTTTAAAAGTGAGCCTATTTTATTTCATTTTGTCTCCCCTTTGCTAACGAGCGAAGTGATTTTCCTGGGAGTGTTGATCCTGGTGTACAGGAGTTAGTGGTGGGCGTGTGGGAGGGATTAGTCCCATAAAAGCAAGTATATAACCTGATCAAACATGTCAATTAAAATTTTTATGCCATTGAAACATATTATCGCGTTCCTTCAAGATAATTGTATTCTCACGAAACGTGAAAGTTTAAAAGTAAATCATTGGACAATAGCAACATATCGACATCATAAATTGATATTTAAAACCAGTTTATGTATCGTTTAGAAGCTACTGAATTCTTATAAAAAAGCTTTATCAAGTTCCATTTGTTTATTATTTTGTATCACCAGTTAAGTAAACACACTACATACCTATAGGGTAAGACTTCGCCACCACCTCCTCATCAGTCAATTCCTCGTCTACCTGGATTCGTTTCAAGCTCATGGTACCGAAGCAGTCTCCACCCAGCCTGAAGTGTATTGACCTCCCTGTTATCTTCAACACCTGAACAGAAATATTGTATTAATTATTTTATTTATTTATTACTTCGTCTACAATTGATACAACTTTTTTTACAACTGCATTGGTGCAGGTTTCATGGTGGGTAGTCACTTACCATCAAATGACCAGTCTGCTCGTTTGCCACCCTATACCCTAAAAATGTCTTACGATTTATTTTTTCAACAGGCGCACCAAGGCGAAGGAAAACGACCGCAACTGGTGCAGTGAAAGAAATAAAACAAATCAAGAAAATCATCACCAAGAAAGAACAAGACAGAAAGAAAAGTCTACAGACTATAAAAAAAGTGGAGGCGTCAATAAAAGCGCAAGCAAAAAGAGATAGGGAAGATAAAAAAAGACTGGATGCTTTGGCTGCTAAAGCTAAGAGAGAGTTGCAAGCGCAAAAAAAGTCTGCAACTCGAAAACGGGCAGCACCGAAAAGAAGGGTCCAGACAACGGAATTAGTCAGGGTTAGCCAGTATGTTGGATTGACAAGACGAGATTATGTTTATTAATTCTTGTATTATACGAATCAACGCTTTCTTTTTTATTTTTTTCTTATAAATACATTCATTGCTAAAAAAACCTATCTGCCATTGGTCACTATTTTACTACTAAAATAGAAAGTACTATAAAAAACTGGTCAGGCACGAGTCGAACTCGAGCGTTCCGTACTATTATATTCGTAATATATATATATATATATATCGTAATATATATATATCGTTCCGTAATATATATATATATATATATATTCCGTAGATTTTAGGTAGATTTTCGCGAAAATTTGTAAGTACAAAAATTTATCTTTATTTTCAACTTATTTTATTTTTTGGAATCGATTCTTTATTTGTGCTGTAAGACATTTCTTTTTGCCAAATTTCGCGATTTTAGGTCAACGGGAACTACCATATAGGTTTTCGACTCAAAACCTATAGGGTACTTCTGGTTGACCTAGAAATGTCAATTTTGGTTAAAAGCAAGTACTTACAAGTTTTCGCGAAAATAGAAATTTGCCCATATCTTTTTATCATGTTGACTCAGGACCTTGATTTTTATACACCTAATAGGGACCATAGACCTCAGTATCTGGCATAAGTTTCTGGCTAAGTCACACGGGAAAAACGGACAAAAAAGTGATCTTATAAGGGTTCCGTTTTACCTTTTAAGGTACAGAACCCTAAAAATATTACATGATGTCTCTCTAACAGTATTGAGAGCATGGACAGTAAGCCACATACCTTAGCTTCTTCGACGATAGCTCCATCTTTAAGTTTCTGCTCCACCTCCATGTCAGGATATGTAGTCTCGAAGATGTTCTTCATCGTTAGGAATGGAGTGTTTCGCGTTGGCATAACGTAGAGCAGGCGAGCGCGGATCTGTACAAAATAAATATTGGTAAATTGTAATTGAAGTAATTGGAAGCCTCTGTCTAAAGGTAGCATATTATAAACTGCTGTTCATAATATTTCAAAGGATCGTTTTGACGAATCGAATTTTCGTCGTAAGTTTGTTTGCCCTCTCTTCTCATAAGGCGCAACCCCTTGGAAACGAACATACAACAAAACAGAGATTGTTGCTATTGTGCGTTTTTTTTTTTTTTTAATAAAATAAAGATATTTTGAGTTTGAGTTTTACCGTTGGTGAGCTATACTCCGGCACTTATGGGCCAGCTCGACCTTCGTTGCTTTCATAGATTGGGTGCAGTTAATAAAGCCCAAACCCACCCTCTCCCCTATTCTGGTGGGAGACGGGGGGTACTCAAACTCACTTATACTCGTGAGTTGCAGGTTCTATGAACGCCGGTAGTCGCTTGGCATAAAAAAAAAACCTAATACGATATATTTTTTACCTTCTGTCCAAGAGCTGGTTTCTTTCCTTTAACAGACTCGGCGTGTTGGCGCTGAATATAAGCTGTCGTATCGCCGAACACACTGCCTTCGATGCCGTTGTCTAAAGGCTGTAATGATTAATATGCATATTTTTATCATGATTTATAAAACAACTATCAGATTTTTAACTCTTCACATGCCACCCCTCTGATATACCACTACACGGTAAAGTTGACTGCACGGATGGCGTAGTGGTTTAAGCGGTCGCCACGCCGCTTCCTACTACGCCGAGTGTTGTGGGTTCAAACCCCACATGGGACGACACATTGTGTGATCCACAAATTGTTGTTCCAAGTCTGGGTGTTATTTGTGTCCGTTTCATGTATGTTTGTAAAGTCCCCCGCGACACAGGATATTTTCCTAATGCAGGACTTGTCTTTTAAAAAAAAAAAAACATGCTTTCGCCGGTAAGCACTATACAGTGTAGCGGCATATCAGAGCTTAATCCTGTCATAGTAAATTTAGGTATGATAAATCGTAAATTAAACGTGGTGACACAATTTAATATTGCCAAGTTATTTAGTTTGAAGTTTTAGTTGGCCGTAAACAACTACACAGAATATGGTAAAGAATCAGCGTAGAGATTCTGCCGGTTTGGCTTGATGAATAATTATAAATTTCTTTTAATATGTTTAGTTACTTTAAACAGTATTACAAACATTCCTTTTATTTATTTTTAAATATAAGGAAGAGAGAGGTTTTTTTTTAATTGTCAAGAGTTGTAAGTCGTAAAATTAATTGATTAATTCAAGACTTAGATCCTATGGAGAAGAAGAGTTAAGAAACAAGGACCAAGGACATTTCTTTTTCACCATGATTAATAAAAGTATTTAACAAATATTAAAAAAAAAACAATAAAAACCTCACGACAAAGGCATTATGAGACAATATTGAAAATTTAACAAACTCGTTAAAAGAAACTCTTTACCGTATCTACGTGGAACTCAAGGTTGGAAGCAGGCAGTAGTGGGGATGTAGTCTTGTGTTTTTGCAAACTGTTCTGCAATGTTGCCAGCTCGTTCGACAACGTCACCACTCCGCCGTCCGACAGCGACTTGACAATGCACCAAGTTATCACCCCAACATCTATGAAATACATAGTTTATTTTACCTGTAGTTTGGTATTATTCATTTCATTTCATTTGATTACTATTTTAAGGGGTTTTCTCCCTTACCATCAAAAGCTAAAATATAATAAGTAGTTTGAACTTACCTAGCTGTATTTCAGGGTTAGTATTTTTCTTAGGCAGGAATGCCCTGATATCAGGAATACCAATATCCATGACATATCCATGGTCTTCTTCTGAGGTCACTGCTGCTTGCAGTAGAGTGCCTGGAAATAATTGATTATTATTAAAAATTCTGGTTTTTATTTTAGACGTTTAAAATAAAAACTTACTTCATATAAACTGGAGATTACTATATTACCATTGTTAATTTCAATCATAATTCATTAGAATGATATTTTGTTTTGTTTCGTTGACATGTATGCCTTATACTGTAATTGCATAGACTTTCAAAGCTATGACTAACATATATGTACATATTAGGGTTGGTCAATATTAGTTTGGATCTGACACACGCAAACCAGTTGCTAGGTGCTTCTAGAAAGTACTTACCAAGTATGAGCTCCTGATATTAACGGAAAGATTATTCTCATCATAGTTTTGCATTTTCAATTTAGTCTCATACAAAACTGGTCATATTTTATCACCAATAGATTGTTAAAACAATTGCATCGTCATAGGAAATTGAACTCTCTACAAAAATGGTCTCTTATACTTATTTCATTAATCTAACCATTTAAAAGATAAAAATAATCTATATATATATATATAAAAGATTTCCACGTATATAGTCACTCATCACGATATCTCTGGAACCATTAGAGATAAAGACTTGAAATTTGGTAGGAATATTCTTTTCACCGAGTAGAGGTCAGCTAAGAAAGGATTTTAAGAAATTAAAAAAAATAATAATAATTAAATAATGTAAACAGCAAAACAAAGTTTGCAGGGTCAGCTAGTATTAATAATAAAGCCTTTATTTCCGAAATAATTTCATGTTACATATTTTCGTGTCTTGATAAAAATTTTAAAAGAAAAGTTTATAAAAGAAAGGTAAAACTTATAAACTACACTTTCATTATAAGATGTCTCTTGGTTCGGATTTAAAAGATATTCAAGGTCAAAGATTCAAGTATTTTAAGGCAAATTACTTTTGATTTTGAATTTTGCAACTTACTAAAAAATAAATATTATCAAATGAGTTCCATTTATTTCTATAGGAAATTGAATGCACTACAAAAAAGGTCTCTTGTGTTTAATCAATTACACTAACCTAACTTAGAAGATATTCGCATTGGAATTCCAATGCATACTAATTTTTATAGTTTATTGATAAATATTTAAAAAAAGTTTAACCCACCCATTATATGTATTAACCCACACCCAGTTAACATATTTTTTTAGTTATAACTTGGAGAACCGACAGCTTTGACTAACTTTGACGAATTTGATTAACTTAGACGCTTGCAAAAGTAAGCTGGTTACTGATCTCCACGTTTAGTTCAAGTCACTTTAACAATAGGAAACTTCATAATTTTTCATGCATAATCTTAATGTTGCTTGCAATTTTACGGACATCAACATTCATGATTTAACTGTTGTGCACAATCAAAATGATATCTTATTTCTTTACAACAAAAGTTGATATCTGATTGCCTGATTCTAGTACACCATCTGCTGCTGTATTCCATTGCTCAAAGTAAAACCTACAATCAGTTTTTTTTCGTACTTCAATGACTTACAAACCTTTATGTAAGTCAGCGTGTTTCTTCTGACCATTGACGTGTTGTGGCATCATAGAGAGCATGATGCTTAGCTCCTTGACTTCCAAGACTTTGACAGCTACATACTGGCCTATGTGGAACATCTGACCCAGCTCTATTACTCTATCCACCTGTTAAAATATATTAAGAATTTGAGTTTACCTTTATAGGCCTGTTGGTCTCATGGTTAGTGATTTTGACTTCTAATCCTGAGGTTGTGAGTTAGATTCCCATAACAAATGGTGACCACATAACTAGGTGCAAGGTCTTGTGGTCACATCTGCAACCAGCTTTGGTCAATCGGTCGTTCCCACTGCTCCTTTACGACAACGCGCGACCCCATACTGCGCAACTGACAGTCTCCAAGCTGCAAGAGCTGGGATTGGAAGCTCTCCCTCATCCGCCATACTCACCAGACCTTGCACCTACCGACTATTACTTTTTCCAAAATTTAGACAACTTTTTAGTTGGTAAAAAATTCAATTCCCGAGAGGCAGTACAAAATGCCTTTGAAGAGTTTGTTGCCTCCCGTCCAGCTGATGTTTACAAGAAGGGCATCAATAAACTGCCAATGCGTTGGCAAAGATGCATCGATTGCATGGGTGATTACTTCGAATAACAGAAATAAAAAAGTTTGAAAAAATAAGAACTTTCACTTATTGCATACAAAACGGCAATTTCATAGGTAAAGACCTAATATAAAGTGTAAAAATTGAACTATGAATTCGACAACCATATAATCTCTAGTATTTATACTTAATTAGGTTACCTGATGGTTAAATTTATAACATTTTTTTTATTTCATTGGTGGGGCCAGTATACATGACACTATTTTACCTCAAACAGAGCATTAAATAGTCCACTGCTATACATAGGCCTACCCTTAGAAAGGAGGTTTTGGCCTACTATACCACGCTGGCCGGACGGGTTAGTATAGAGTTGTCCTGCGTAGTTAGTTCCCTTAGTCGGCTCTTACGACACCCACGGGATGAATAGGGGTGGTGACATTTCGTATTCTTAATCCATCACCACACGGATAGGACACAAAGTACACATACATTCTGAATCAGTCAGTCTTTTAACTACAAAAAAAATTACCAAGACTGTGTCGGTACGACATTGGTAAACAAATTATAAAACTGGGTTTGCTCCCTTAATCGACTCTAAGAGACCCCCAGGATGATTGGAAATGGTGACACTTTGTATTTCACTTTTCATTCTTAATCCATTACATTATCCATCACAGTTTGAACAATATTTGTAGCAAATTGTCGTAAATGAACAATATTGACATAAATGTAAGTAAACTAACCTTATCATTGACATATGCTTCTAGCTGCTTGTTATACGGTTCACTAATATGGCAAGCCATGACTGATCCGATCATCCGGCACGGCAGGCTAATCACTACTTTTGTTTCTAAGACATTCTTAACCCTGCCCAAGATCAATACTCCTTCCTTTACAGTCTGAAAATGAAATCACATGCTTCACATTATTTTGAAATAATTATTATGACAAGTAACAATTGTGTAATTATTGCACAATCTTAAATTCTCAGACAAAGTGAAAATTGAACATATGTTTTACAAATCTTTTAAGAAAGTTAAAAAAATTGTAACAAGTGGTTATGTATCAGTAAGTTACTTGAAAGGATGAATAGACGCTCATCATCATCAACAGCCTTTGGTAGTCCACTGCTAGACATAGGCCTCTCCTCGGAAAGGAGGTTTTAGTCTACTATACCATACTGGCCAGATAGGTTTGTATAAGGTATGTTTAAAGTTTTCCTTCTCTTCTTTAGTTACTAGAAAGCAACACACTCTCTGGTATTGTTTTAAATTGTTCTGCTAACCTACAAATCCATTTTCAAGTCTACAGGATGGTATGACATAAAATTGAGGGGCAAAATATCCATATCAAACATCTGTGTCCTCCCATGAATGTTAAATACAATCCCAATATACCAATCATGTGAAATTGTTTGTTATAAATGCTTAAATCCCTCATTTCATTATAATGTTTAGCTACTGGACTACTTATCTAAAGTATCAGAGCCAACAGCCAAACACTGTAATAGACTACAGTAAATGTAGAGTTGTTTTCTTTATAGAGACATCACTTGACTTACTAGACAGCTGAGATCTGAACCATCTACATATAATAAAATGGATTGCAAATAATCCATTTACCAAAAAATATGTGAGAAGATGAAAAAATAACAGGTGTAAGATAAGTTTATGGTACTAGGTGATCTTGTAGTCTATGAATTTATTTAGTACTTCAACAGTAAATAATACAAAAATGGTATTTATGGGAAAATGTACAACTGATACCCAATGATTCATTCTTTGGTGAACACTAATAAGGTACTTTTAGTTACACCTAATGATTGTTCGTTGATTTGATCCTAAGGTTCATTTTCATTCATCTCTTGTGGTATTTAAGATTTAAATTTCAAATAATATCTAATGATTTTTCATAAAGCACAAATAAAAGATATAGGTTGCCTGAATACAAACGTATTAAAAAAAAACACACCTTATAACTCAAACCGTAGGCACAATTCTTAAAAGATTCACTGACTTCTTTCGAGCCCTCATCCGATAAATACCCATCGTCACCTTCAGACTTCTTCTTTATTTTTTTCTTCTTCTTGTCTCGTTTTTCAGTAGCGCCTAGAAACTATGAAATTAATTTAAATGAAATATATTTTCGTTTTGAAAACACCACTTCACTTGAAAACACATTCACATGCAGTTGTATACGTACGTTGGCATTTTGTTTAAAATGTGTGGTTGTTGGCTTCTTTCCTCCACGCGGGAAATATTCCTCTGTATCTGCCATTGCAATTTTATTTTATGAATACTAGAAAAATCACACTTAAATCTACCTCTATTCGACCTGTGACATGTACTATGTGCAGTTACAGTGTGTTACTGTGTACATGAGAAATTGAGGTTATCTTTGTTTTGTTACTACATCAGAAAAGTAAATGACATGTGAAAAAGATTTTGAATTGATCATATTATTTTTGAAAAATATGTGTAGATATTCATGACAAATGAAGTTACAATAGTTACCATAATTTAGCTATTTTATCATTATATTTATAAATTGGTTTTTGATTTTTTAATAAAAAAAAAACCTTTGAAGTTCTGATAACAAAACGTAGTTTTGATACGTAATACGTTTGCACGGCTCAATTGCAACTTTCTTCCATTAAAATATACCGTAGGATTTATTGTACATGTAAATGTTGTTAATGCGCAAGGGAGATTATTTGTTTTTTTGGTACGATATCGTACGCATAATCATGCGTACCGAAAAGAACATAACGCTTTCATCTCTTTTTTGCAGACTTTCGCTCGGCGCTAAGTTGTAATTCGTAATTTTATCTAGAAATGCACAAAAAACAAATATAAACTTTTATTTCTCCTTCATGATAATTATACAGTATTGAATACATTTAAGGTAAATGAAACCATCAATCTAAATCACAAATAAGGCAAAATTCTTATATTTGTATACATTACGTTCAAATGCTAAGGCTAAAAAAGGCACTAATTTTTTGCTAATTTATCCTCGTTTTCTGTAGAATTGTTTCATTTAGAATTCTGTTGACTAGAGAAACACCACGCATCCCACGCTAAGTGACTTTAAACTTGTACACCAGTATAACGGTTAGTGTCCACGTCTCGGCTCCGTATGTCATTACCGGTATGTACGAGTCGGTACGACGCACTGGTTAAACGCCTTAGCTTTTAGCGATTGCGGGATTGGCGACTCAAGAAATTACAAAGCTTCCCATATACCACCCAGAGCAGACGAATTCTTCCCTTGGGCCTCCAGAAGTTGTGCTGGCTGAGTTGGATGGTTTGCCCAAGATATACGGATTCTTACACAACCTCGATACGAGCACCATTTACGGCCACGGGTCTCGGGAATACATGTCTGTTGTACATGATCTTGGTCTTGCCAATGTTCATCCCAAGTCACACTCGTCTTGAAGAATCGACCTGAGTCCAGACTGTCAAACATTTCTTCCAAATCATGCAGAGATGTCGCGAGGATCCCTATGTCGTCTACAAATCGCAGGTTCGAGATTTATTGCCTATTAATATTGATTCCCCGTCCGTACCAAACGAGCGTCTTCAAGACGTCTTCCAATAAATTTGTAAACAGTTCTTCAACAACAAAATCTTCCTGTCTAATCCCGCGATGCAATAGAATTGGTCTTATAAGCTAGTCTTGACCTTGGACGGTCATCGTTGCGGCTTCGTAAAGACATCTCATCACTTGGATATATCAGCAGTCAACCAGGCATCGCTGCACAGATTCCAGGACAGTCCGATGGCATAGAAGGCCTTCTCGTAGTCCACATACGCTAGGCAAATTGTATTCCTCTATTTCCTCAATAATCTACCTTAATGTGCGTATGTGGTCCACGGTGCTGAAGCCTTTTTCGAAACTTGCTTTACAGGCTGGAAGTTATCGAATTTTTGGACAAGACGATTCGTAATGACTCTCGAGAACAACTTGTACATATGGCACAGGAGTGAAATGGGGCTGCAGTTCTTTTAACGGGCGGCCGAGGCATTTTGAATCATATTTAAAATTTGGATTAGCGCCCGTCAGCCAGAACCAGGTCAGGTATTGAGGATGGCAGGGGTTGCCACGGAGAGGAAGTCTCGCGGCAGGGCATGTCTAGCCGAGGGTCGTCTATGGTAGGGCGCGAATTCCCACATGTGGCGGGCTTGCGAGCTGTCGGCACGCATAAACAGATTTGTACATAGGCGTCTCACCAAGTCATCCAGGCTTTTCACGCGCAGATGTCTGGAGATTGACTTGTTCCACATAAAGTGAGAGGCGTTGGCGATGGTGCGTCCCAAAAGAATATTGCCATAGTGTAGTCAATACTAATAGTAAGTGAACTTCTTTAATAGACAGCTAAATAAACCTACAAGACTGTCTCGACTAAAAATGTGTAAGGATAGTCACAAAAACGATTACGATCATAGGTAGCTAGGTAAAAATAGGTTTGCCTAATTTAACGATGTTTTACCTATATGGCAGTATCTTGGGTTCCCATTGTGTTTAAAATATTGGATAAATGGTTGAATAAATAATATAAAACAGGTTAAAATTATACATTGGAGAATATTTTAAGTCGTTTTTTTTTGCTGTGTTCAAACTACTACTTATTAAGGCAACATTGTTGATGTAACAAAAGACGTATTTAGTCTAAAAAATGTCAAAAGTTTATCTCTCCTACTTTAGCGCGGTTGGGAAGAAAGAGAAAGCAAACTGAGAGTTGAGAGTACATTTGACAGCTGATATTTCATTTCATCACATTCCATTTGTCATGTGTCAATAAAATTGCGTTTCATTCACTCACACATTTAGATTCGCGCCGGTGAGCAAAGACTGCGGTTGTTACCTGTTACTAAGTTGTTAATAGTTGAAAGTTATTATTCCATTGTTAATGTATTTATTTGAAATTGTTGCGATTCGTATTTGATTTGAATTGTTAATTTTGTTCGTGAATTTATTACTTTAGAAACATTTTTCAAAACCTCTTATCGGTGAGTTCTTACCCACTTCAAATTGGTAATACTCGGATGATATAATTAAGTAAACTTGTTTATTTGAAGAAATTAATTCTAGGTAAAAAAGTGGTTCTATCTGCTTACAATTTAATTGTAAACAAAGTTGTATTCATGTATGTAGAAACAAACCGGTTTTTATGTAACCTCCTCTTGAGTTATTTACGAGTATTTACTTGTTTTGCTCTTTAACAGAAAATGAAGAAAATTGTGATTTTCGGATCTACTGGCATGACCGGCCTGTGCGCTGTTGAAGCTGCTGTGAAAAAAGGTAAAATTGTTTATTTTTTTTATTTTTTTTGGCATTTTTTTAAGTTTTTATTTTTAATTCTAATTTGAAACTTACAAGACATAACATTGCCAAAGATATTTTTTATTTTAGTTGCATAATCTATGATTGATGAGGTTACCTCTGGATTACCTTTTTAAAGACTTATTTGTATCTAGTGTATTTGAAATATTCAAATATATATATATATATTATAATATAAATACTATAATAAAACTAGCTGACCTGGCAAACATTGTTTTGCCATATACATTTTTACAAAAAATTGTAAAAAGATTTAGGGGTATGAAAAATAGATGTTGGCCGATTCTCTGACCCACCCCATATGCACACAAAATTTCACGAAAATCAGTTGAGCCATTTTGGAGGAGTTCAACTTCTAACACCGTGACACGAGAATTTTATTATATATAAATATATTTTGATTAAGGGCTTAAGTAGAGAATTTCATGATCACTCTGATTCTTGCCTAGTTTATTAAGAAATAAGACTCACTATTATTTCACTTATTATTAACTCTTATTCACAAGACTGGGATTCTAATTGACAAGCACCTAATATTTTATATGGATGGCGAAAGTCACCAACAGATGACCTGCAAAAAATGCAAAAATATTCCAATAAATTACTGTTAATGGCATAAGTTTGTAAGTATTCTGACATTAAGAATATACTTTAAAAGTTGTCTAAAATTTGTGAAAACTATAGTTAAAACTTTGTTCAATTTTCAAAATTTGGTAATTATAGTAAATTACAATGATATTAAATAAAAGTTAGAAACTGTAAAAGATATTTCAAGTTCACTTAAAGTGATTTATTTATTTATTCTGAAAAGCAAACAGCTTTATTTTAGAAATCTCTGAATAATGACAGTAATACAAAATGTGCTTAACATTTTGTGTAGTGTCCTGAGCACACCTAAACACATGGAAGACTTAAAAATCATTCACACTTATAGGGCACATAATACTCAGGGATTTCCTTTTTAGGGTACACCTGGTTCCTTGGCTACTGGTACCTGAGACGGGGTGCGGTTTTTTGTCGGTTCGAGTCTGACATAGCCACCTATGGGTGGTATCCGACGGGATTTCTGCACAGAATACCATATTGGTACTGTTGATTACTATAATAATAACTTATATTCCTCTTATAAGGTACTATAGGTTACAGAGCATCATAATTATATTTATAAAAATAGTATTAAGTTCCTAATGACAGCTGGAGTCTATACTAGGCTCGCAAAACCTGTATGACAGACCTACAAGCCACCTTATGGCTGAAAATATCTAATTATGAATAACTTAAAAGTAGAGTTACTGCAACTTCAAAGAAAATAAAAACCATATAAACTATAGTTTTTACTATGAGTCCTTAGTGTGAACTTAAATCCCTCAGTCATACTTACCAAATAGAATTTGATTTTGCAGTATGGGCTATGATAAGGAAATCAAAGTTATACTGTGCCCAAGCCACACTTTCTTTAAAATGTTTGACCATTTGGCCGATTACACGAGCGCGAGGGCGTTGACCCCAGATCGGCAAGAGATGAGTGACGGCACGTACACACCATGTCGTGTGAATTCTCGTACTTAACTTCATTATTTTGTACATACGAGTATAGTGCTTCTGTGAAATAGCCTTCATAAAATGACACATGCAAAAAATATGAATGTATGACCATTTTTTATATCTTCAGTACCATGGTCCATCCACCAGAGTGATAACGAGACTTCCTAAGACGCCCCGCCGGATGCTAAAGTAACGAATTTGAATTAGTAATTTAGTTCGGAAAAATTTAAAGAGATGGCGCTCGTCGGTTTAAATTCGGACTATGGTTTCGTTACACGGGAAAATATAAAGTACGTTTATCGATTTGTTGAAATCAAATCGGTTCAGTAGTTTTTTATCTTTTTGGATGGTGCTGGTGAGACCTACATAGGTCTTACTAAGCATTACGTTTTACATATTTATGGTGATTGGTGATACCTATAAATGATCACTATTCATTGCCAGCAGCCTCACTAGCGTGTTGTCTTATTCGGGTGTCCAATTTAAGGAATTATGATACGTACATCCTTTCATTTCCTATTTTACCAGGGTTAATGATTAATTTATAGAATTTGAACTTGACTGAGTGAAATTACATACTGAGGCGCAGTGAGTTTGCTCATAATTGCGCCAGTGCGCGTAAATTGAACGCGGCCGAGTGGGTTGTAGAGCGTAAGGGCCTCGCTACTGGTACGCGTTTTTTTAGTTATTGAATGTGTTCTGCAACAACGCCAATATGCTGTCAAATTTTAAGGAATTGAACCAAAACACTCGTTGCAGTTGAACTATTTATCGGTTTTTAAGCATATTTTATGTCAAATTATAGTTTTATTTATCACATTATTTTTATAATTAAATAAAAATATGATAGTAGAAATGTAAAATGTAAGACAATTACTAAATTAATTAGTATTATTATTAGAAAACCGTTTGAAATTTTCATTTCTCTTTAAATCATTCTGTCACGACTATCACAAGCCTTTAATGTTAATTTTTATTGTAAGAAGCATCGTATAAAGTGCACAAGAATTCGTGTATATCCCATTAATAAGATAAAGCTTAAATTTGTTTTCAATGGGTATGTGTTCATTACTCAATCATGGCAAAATGGCTGAACGGTTCTGGATGAAATTTGACACCAAAGAACAGTTACAAGATGTTAACAATTCTGTACCTGGAACCTAAAGTTTTAAATAGTACATAGGGTTTATCTAGGAATAATTGATACAAATAAAGATGCGTAATCTAGTTTGTAATACAAAAGAAAACAATTCTCTATTTTAAAATATCCGATAATTTTTGGACATCTGCAAAAATATTCGTATCCCCTAACGATAACAATTATTTATTCATTTATTTCCAATAAAAACGGCTATTATTACAGGTTTAGCCCAATGCGATAGCGTCCAGGGTATGCTTCCCGTTGAATGAATATTTCTATGCATAATCATCATCACATTAACAGCCTTTAATAGTCCACTCCCGGACATAGGCCTCTCCTGAGAAAGAAGGTTTTGGCCTACTATACAAGGCTGGCCAGACGGGTTGGGTCATAGGGTTTGTGTCAAGTTTTCATTCTCTTTGCAGTGCCGTTGTCCTGCATAGTTTGCTCCCTTAGTCGGCTCTCACGACACCCACGGGATGAATAGGGGTGGTGACATTCCGTAATTTATAATCCCTCACCTTGCATTATAATATGTAGGTACAAAGTATTACAAATAATTATGTATCCATTATTCATGTTCCAACTGACAGTATAAGCTATAATTAGGATAAGTCTAGATAACGCTGTGTAATATGTCCTAGATTATTATTATAGGTTTTTTTCATTTATCAGCTTACCACGAAGATGACTAACTGACGTACTTCGAACTATTAAAGTGACGGTTGATCCTTGAAACAATAATAAAATTGTATTACACAAAGCTAAACAAAACATCGTATTTAATAAAAGACCCTTCTGTTGATTGTAGATTAAAAATTGATTAACTCCTACTTCGTTGTAGCCAGTAGCGATTTAAATATGTTTATTTAACGGGCCTGTTGGTCTAGTGGTTAGTGACCCTGACTGCTAAACCGGAGGTCGTGGGTTCGATTCCCACCCAGGACAAATATTGTGTGATGAGCACGGTCATTTGTTCTGTGTCTGTGTGTAATTTATCTATAATATGTATGTATTTAGAAATATATAAGTATGTTTATTTATAAATATTTGTACCCGGTTGACGGCAACCGACTTGTCACTAATGTATGTGTGGATGTACAGCGTAAATCTAACCACCCCGACGGTCGGACTCAGGCGCCCTACTCCGAGGAGGTCCCGGACCATGTTATGTCAGGTCCCCCCCCCCCCCCAGATCGACGCCGCGCCCAGTAAAGCCCTCCCTATCCCGGGGAAGCTGCGCGCTTCCCCCGCCTATCGGATCCAACGTAACCAACCACCAAACAAAACCACCAAATAGTTCATATCGTTCCATTATTTCACAAGTTTATTATCTTAATACGTGAGTCAACAATTTTGATACGTCCTTATCTGACCGTACACTGGATTAAATCTGCGATAAAAAATTGACAATATAGTAGATAACTAACATAAAACAATATTTTTATTGAAGGTGTTAGTTAGGTCCGCGGTTTAAATCTGGACACAGACAAACGTAGAAGATAAAAATAACGCCTAATCTTTTTTTTTTCTGTGCGGAAATCCCCTCGGATACTACTTTGGTGGATATCTCGGACTCGAACTAACTAAAAGCCGCACGCCGTCTCGGGTACTAGTAGTACCCGAGACGTACTCGGGGTGTACTCGGGGAACCAGGTGTTACCCTAGGAAGGAAATCCCCAGTAACAATGCCTTATCCTAACTAAATAAATAAATAAATCATCATCAACAGCCTTTAACAGTCCACTGCTGGACATAGAAGCCTCTCCTTAGAAAGGAGGTTTTGGCCTACTATACCACGCTGGCCAGACGGGTTGGTATAGGGTTTGTGTCAAGTTTTCCTCCTCTCTGCAGTGCTGTTGTCCTGCGTATTTAGCTCCCTTACGACATCCACGGGATGAATAGGGGTGGTGACACTCTGTATTCTTAATCCGTCACCACACGGATATAAATAAATACGGAGAATAAATAAATGTGAAAGATTTTTTTTTATTACGGTAAGGGGGCAAGCATAAGGGTCACCTGATGGTAAGTGACCATCGCCTCCTATTGAGACCTGTAACTCAAGAGACTCAAATGCGTTCACTCCCTTTGAGCACCCCCCAGAATTCAGGATTAGCGGTAGGGGAGGGGGGGAATTAGGGCGCCGAAAGTATGACTAACACTTGTTTTCTGTAAGGCCGTGGTATCGCATTAAAAGCGTCTATTACCAATACACGTAAAACATTCAAGGGTCGTCGCCTTCAATCGTAAAGCATTAAAACATTTATTG